CTGATTGATGTAAAACTTTTCTAAAAAGTCAATAGCTATAATTAGCCATCGGCAATTTCCTTTGAGTATCCGTACTCCAAGTTCATAATTACTCCCATTTAGGGTGATTAGGATCAGTCGAAATGACAAATGACCTGGATGAAATTAAAGAACTTAGCATTAATGGGGAGTTTGAGAAAACTAATGAAAAAGTGTATTATCTTCTTTGAAATTTTTCTTATATTTTGCCAATAGTTGAGACTTACCCTGAATTAATTAAGTTGGAAGGAGAAGGGTCAATTTCCTTCCATTTTGGCCCACTGTTTTTTTCAACTTAATTTTGACCGAATTTTATAAAGGAAGCGACTTTACACGTTTTCAGTTTATCTCCTTCATAATCATAGAGTTTATTTACTCAAAATATTGTACAGCTTTTCAAGAGCTTTTTTTCTATACTAAAGACTAGTTGGATCCTTTCTTGCTTATGGGAGAAAACGGGAAAATATGATCACTCAAGTATGGTCACTAGATAATGGATGCTTGAAAATAAACCATTTCTCCTTAATAATATGGTACATAACTATAGTTAATATACCATTTTGTTCAGTTTTTCATTGGCTATGTTTCTATATCAAGCTTTATCGTAACTTCATATTAGATTTAGAACAGAATCGTTTTTGTTAAGCATCGGTATCCTTCATGTATCGCTTCACAAAAATTAATTTAAAAATTCTCTGTATGATTATGATGGTTCAGATAAACTGAAAACCGTGTAAAGTCTCTTTCTTTATAAAATTTAGTCAAAGTTGAGTTGAAAAAACAATAAGCCAAAATGAAAGGAAATTGGCTCCCCTCCGAGTGAAAATGAAAACAAACAGTCATTTTTTCATATATATGATTTGAAATAATTATAGTCATCGTGGTATTTTTCATAGGGCACTTATCATCAGTCAATACATACCACAGAAAATTCATTACGACTAATTATAGCTAGTGACGTTTTGGAAAAGTTTTACATCCGTATATAGCTGGGTGTCTTCTTTAGCTACTGACATAACATCGCTTGTCATCGATGAAACGTGACTTAAGAAGTTTCAAAAACTAATCGTAACTATTCTATATCACTGCAAGTGTATGTAAAGTTGTTTTTAAACAATAATAAACAAGTGCGAACAAAAGATGGTTACTGATAGCTGTCTACTTCATAAAAAGCAAACGTTATTTTTAGTTGAGGTAAAGCCAGACGCAGTATTGCATCTATTGAATGTTCTAGAAACAGAGAACGTTACAGGTACAATATTTTTACGTAATCTTGCCCATGACGTTTAATATGTGTATTTCATGCGGTCACTAAGATATCTTTTCATATTTCTTCTCATTCCTCTGTCTGATGAGCACTATCCATGATCACTTTTCGATAGTGGGTGGACAGGTTGCATCAGGTATTTATGAACACTTTAAATAATTTAAATCAAATTTCGGTCTTTCATTCTATACTTTTTAGAAGTCATACATTTATTCCAATGATATTAAAAATAGTTTTAGAAAATTCTATTGAAAAACTAATTATATTTTTACTAGTCGCTTTCTCGTACTCTTTTCTAGTAATTTTTAGAACTAGGGGCTGATGAATAATACTTAAGCAAGTCCAACAACTGTTTCGGAGGTACTGCATCAATAACGAATCTGGCACTGTATATTCTTTTTTTTCATACTACTCTCATCACGCAACATAAAAATAATTGTATGAAGACTATATATTGACAACTGATCGTTTTTGAAGTATCTCATGATTGTCTGGTTGTATATAGTTCAACAGTGTTCAAAACTGAGGAAACACTTTTGCTCTCATTGGATAAGAGCTCTGTAAAAACTAAATTAGGTAATATGGTAGAAGAGAAAGTGAACGCATCTTGTCTATAAATTCGAATTACAAAGATTTTTTGTTCTGATGCTCATATATTTAATTTTTTAGTCTAGATCATAAAGAAAAAGTAAGTGTTTAAAACTTATTGCTTAAGCGTTCCTTTCCCCTCAGTGTGCATTGATACGCACATTTTTCCCTGATTTATCTTGCGGCTAATATATCCCAATATATGGGCTATTTAATGGTAGCAAAAGCTTTATTTCAAGTATGAAGGTTCGTCAGAAAACGCGTAGTCAGAAATTAGTCTGAAAAACACAGTACTTCGCATAAATATCGTGTGCTGTTAAAGTGAATGAATTTCAAAAGAAAATAATAGAGCTTCTGAATCGGGACACCTTAACACATTGATTGCTACTTATGCCGTAATAAAGAACGAAATAAACAACGAGCGTTATTTGTGGGTCGCGGTCAATGTATTAAGCTATCTGGTCAGGATCTTGCGTTTTGTGTCAGAAATAGATCATTCAGAACAGTTGAAATTTTTTATCATAGATATTAATTACCAACGTGCTTCTTTCATAGAATCAGCTTTAACATATCCGTTTCCTTACAGATCATTCTTTAACATAGTGTGAAAGTTCACGTTTGAACTGCTAATATCAAGTCTTGTATGAATTTTGTTCTTAAAACGTGCATAGACTGAGCTGATTACAGTAAATAAAATGTATATTTAAGTTTTTATTCTTGAGTGAATAAACTCTATCGTTAAATGATTAATTCGGCAAATCGGCTTATATGATAGATGAATGACTGAAAATTTTACTTCTTGATTACATTATGTTACATGTTCACTATGATTGTTTAACACATCGCATACTTGTCCGCATGAGAAAGCAACGGACTCAGTCATTTGTTAAACTTAAATCAAACCTTTTCTTCAGTAAGCTCCTGTCACTTACTTTTTGTGTTTTGCATACGTTAGAGTTTCACATTTAGACTTAAGGGATTCACGTTGGCAAGCTCTTCTAAACAGCGTTTGATTGAAAATACAAAAAAAAGTGCTATGGTTTTTGCTATCTTGTTGCTCAGAGTTTGAATCATCTTCCTTCAGGCTCCTGTGAGAAACGAAAGTTAAAAATTATCTTGAAGTAGGTATTTATTCTCAGATGAAACACGTCTTACAAGATCTGATATTTTTTATAGTACCGTGTACTAAGATCATACAGTACGATTTTACAAAATCTTTTAAAATTTTGTGACATCTTATCATACGATCTTGCAGCAAGCATTTCGTGTATCATGTTTAATTATTCTTATCATAATCACACATTCACATTTCAGATGAACACAAAGTAAAGTGCATAGTTGTGGAATGTGTTAAGTAAAATCCCAAGACATCAGCACTCTATCAATGCTAGAAAATATCAATAGAAAAAAAAAACAGACAAGTTCTTATCACAAGATTTTATAAGATCTTACGAAATAAAATTTCACAAGAAAAATCTTGTGAAATCGTATAAGTTTTTTGAACCATGCTCCTTATAATATCTTGTAAGATTTTTATATGATCTTTATAAGAGCATATTGTATGTTTTCTCCCTCTGGGTTCTTGAAAACGAGATTGTCGAATAAAAAGTCTGAAGACATTTATACAAATTCTAGTGTGAGTTAATAGTATACAATGTTATCTATGCATGAGCGTTATGCATGTGTGCGACTTCGTAGTCGAATTTATTGCATATCTGAAAAGGCAAAATTTCGCAAAACGTCTTGTTTCTGTGTTAAAAAGTACAGGTACATCTCGGATTGCACACCTCCATTACACATGCACTTAAGCTTTCTCTGTTTTAGGCTCTCTAGTTTAGACATAGCATCAGGTTTCGACCTTATTGAGAGATATACCACTTGAAATACACGTTCCAGAGCGTCTTTTTATATTAAATGGTGCAGTGAAGTATTGGCGACTTATTGCTAAAAATCGTAGCTTTATATCTATTTCCAATTAAATGCTATTAAAAAATAACCGAAACTATGTTACTTTTTTGAGCAATAGTGATCATAGTAATCCTCTTATAATTATATGAATCATCTTAAAGATTGTTTCTCTTATACTTCTTATTACTATTGCGTAGAAACTGTACGTAAAAAAGAAGGCAATTTGACATATATACTATAGGATTTTTGTGAAATGTCGTCGTTTCTGAAAAGAAAAAAAAAGCTGCTTCGTGTATAACATGCGAATTTCATGGGTTTCTTTTAAATAATTGCTATTGCATAAAAAAGATTGAAAATGTTCATTGAAAATATTTTATGTAGAGATAATATCGACACGTAATTCATTAAAAGTTCATCGTAATCTGCCGTATTCTATTTTATGTATGACTGTCGTTTATTTTAACTATAGAAAGATATATAATGAGACAAATTAATTTAATCGCTATCCTCACACATAAAAGATGAAAGATGACATATCTAGACATTATTGCCTACCTTTATAGTTTAGTTTTTAATTGGAAAAATAAAAGGAATAATCGAAACCATATCCGGTCTGTTAGTTTATTCTTCCTTTTCTCTTTTTTCCACTCCTAAAACAGGCATGTATTTCTAGTCAATATGTGTGCCTTTATAGTTTATATTAGTTAGTGTCTTGTAGTTTGCGAACACAGAATAAAATAATGTGAATATTAAATCGTGTACTAGTATTGCGCAGTTTATCTTTACCTTTATATAATAATAAGCAAAATGCATCTTGGATTCAGAAAATATTATCCAGATCTTTTAATTACATTATAAAAAAAAAACTATATTTATTTCTTTATCAGCAACAAAAAAAATTTTTCTATCATTTGATTTCTAAGGTAAGCATCTCTCATTGCAACTAGAGAGATGTTATAAAAAAATATTCACAATATAATATTTATTCCATTCCATTTCCTTTCATCGTGGAGGACTCTATATTTAAACTACTTATTTTCATGAACAGGTACCATTAAAGTCTTCTATCAGAATTTACCTTGAAAAATTTAATTTACAATGGTAGACGTCTTTCTAAAAATAAATGGTGGTGAATTCTGTACGAATATTCTCCCATTTCTCCTTCTCTATGTTGATATCAATTATTGACTTATTTAATTTCATTTTAGAAATTTCAACGATGCATGATTCTCTATCACCTCCATCTGATACTGATTATAATCATTTACCATGTAATCCATTTTTAAATAAAACATCATTATTAAAACTTCAAGATGGAATACATTCTATAAATCTCACAGCATTATTAGAAAATCCTGATGTTGATAAAGAGTGTATATTAAATTTAACATTGGATGGCGGATTTTTACTAAATGGTACGAATTATTCAAAATCTTTGATTATATTTATTATTCTTATTTCAATTGCGTCGTGTATATCCGTTGTGGGTAATTTAATTTTGGCTAAAGTTTTACTTTCAATACGTCATCGATTATCTCAAACCGATCGAATTGTTTTATGTTTAGCCATTAGTAAGTTGTAAATTCGTTCTATTTCTCTCTCTCTCTCTCTCTCTCTGTCACAAAAGTATTTCTTTTTCTTTTTAGTTGAATTATGTCTTGTTCTAATTGATAGTCCAATAGAAATTTATCGATTTTTATCTTATACATATGGTCAATCATGGTTGTGCCGTTTTCACACATTCTGTGAATCATTACTATCATCATGTATCATTTTTTATCACCTCCTGGGTGAGTAAAGTGAAGTGTCTCTTTTTTTCATTCTAACAAGAACTAATTGATAATTACGTTAAGAAGATATTAAATTAATATCTAAAACACTTAAAAAACGTCATATTTACAAGAAAAACTTCTAATTACAATATACTCATCACTTTAACGATGGAAAGAGATATTTTAATAATCCTAGTTAAAATCTTAGTCACTTCTTAAAATTATCTTATTCTTTAAAATTTTGATAAGAAAGATCTTAACAAGATTTAATGACTCTATTTTCATTTACCCTTTTGTTTTGCATTCATTCATCTATATAAGTAACATCGAAAATACCAGTGATTTTACGACTATTTTTCTTCCAGACTCTTAAATGAATATTATTAAGAAAATGTTGTCGTTCTTACTGTTAAGATCCTAATAGATTCTTACCCAATCTTGAAAAAATCTTATAAAATCCTAAAATTCTCCGGTCTCACTCGAATCTTAGTAAGATTCGAGTAAGTTTCTCATTAGAGAATCATAGACAAGAAGTTCATTTAGTTTAAAGTAATTTGTCATCAACTTCTCATCTATTTTGATTATTTTTGTTAAACAAATTGTCGCTTAAAACCAGATTTAAATAATCAATCATTCGGAATATGAAAAACCGAGGTAGAAGAATCTTTTTATAGACGTAAATGTTTCTATTTTTGAGCCTAAAATTTCTGTAGACATCGAGTTATTTAATATTTATACGAATTATATGAAGAAGACTAATTTTTAAAACATATAAAGTGCATAAAAGACAAAAATTAATGAATCTTAAATACTTGAACAAAGAAAAAAGAAAGATCAAAGTCTATAATCTATGGTATAAACTAAGACTATACAAAATTTTATTGTTTTTAATGATAGAAACTTATGATCTTGTTCATTACAATTAAATATTATTATCAATTTAAAATTATCATATTTTCTTTCTGTACATTCTATCTCATGTTTTGTCTTCTTTGGTATAGGTGCGATTGATCGTTTTGTCTATGTTTATGGTCAAACAATGACAACTCAATCAATATGGTCAAAATGTAACCAATCATTTTCATCAAAAAAAAATTCATTTGTTCTACTATTTATACCTCTTATTGTTAGTTTACCAATAGCTATTACAAACACGCTACATTCATATGTTATCCGATCGCCAAAACGTATGATGACATGTGTTGTTCAATATACTCAATATAAATTTATCATCATTATTCTAGTATCATTCTATATATTACCAATTATATTGAGTTTTATTTTACATACAAAATTAATCTATTACATTCGTTCTCGACATAAACAACAGTATATAACCACTTATCTTCTACCACCAACAAATAGTATTCGTCATAATTATCAAACAATGGATTTAAAAGTAAATTATGATCCATCAATGCCAAATCGTACAACATTGTTAAAAATTAATCCAAGACATCGACATCGAATGCACAATACAACAACGGAAACTCGTCCAACAAAGGGTACAACAAATACAACAAATTCACCAACAAGTCCAACAGCACAATCATCAGCATCATCTGGTTCATCAACAACAACAAATACTAATTCTTCAATTCATGTATCACGTCCAATTGTTATTTATAAATTAAATTCTCAAGCATGTGCTAATGCAAGAAAAACTGTTATTTTATTAGTAACATTGTTAACATTTTATGTTTGTTGTTGGGCACCTTCTAATATTTATACATGGATTCATACCTATCAATTAATTGAAACGGAGAAAAAGACAACATTTTCTATTAAAAATTTAACAAATAATCATGATATATCTACTTCTAATTATACTTCATTAATAAATAATTTACCAAAATCAACATCATTTCATTCTAATTTAAAACGTATGATTTTAATTAATTATTCACTTTATTTTCTATCAGTAATATCTATGTGGTTTAGTTTTATTTTTTATTTTACATTAAATAAACAAGCACGATTAGAATTAAAACGTTTATTAAGTTTTACTATTTATTGTGGTAGTCGTCGAAAACAACCAAAACATCGTTATCAACAACAACAATATTTACCAGTAATAAAATATAATTATACTATAAATCATTACAATTATAGTTCTCATAGACAATCAAAGAAAAAACAAAAATTAGTTAACATTAATTCAAAAGATTATAAAAATACGGTTATGTGTAATAGACATATAACAGTAAAATATGGATGTAATGTTAAATGTAGTGGAAGTACATGAACTTATCAATTATTTTTCTTTATCTTTATTTTTTTTTTGTTTTTTTTGCATGTAAATAAATTTTAAAAATTGTTGATATAGTTTTTATTACAAAACTTTATAATATACAACGTATTTTGTGAGGATTTGTCATTTATTAAAAATTGTATTTCAACAACAAGTTTCTATTTTTTATTTGAATAAAAAAATGAAAACTTTTTTGACATAAGTTCTGTTCTAAGGAAAAAAAAATGCATTTTTCCTGATAATTAGATAGATGATTCTATAGTAGTATTTGAATTTCTAGTTTAAATCAGTTTATTGAAGCCAATAAAATACCAATGAATTGAACTGAATTAAAATTTGTACAAGTTAGAAGATAAAGAGCACTATTTCGTTGTTAAACCTTTATTAATTAACATTGATCATCATAATATACAAAAATTATTCAATAAATCTCTTGAGTTTATCTAGTTTTTCTTCTATATTTAGAAAGTATTGTATATGTATCTCATAGTATAACAAAAATAATAAATATTAATTGGCTAAAATATTTTTAAACTAATACCAATCGGGATGAATAAAAAAATATTCGGGATAAACTTTTTTTGTTGGCATAAAAAATGATGAAACATTTTGATCTGGTGCATGTTGATTTTCAATATCTTCTCGAGGATTTATTACTCGCCATGTTGTTGATAAATATCTTGGTGCTGATTCTCGCTTATTAGTTGTTTTAGTTTCCACATTGGAATTATCAACAACATTTCCATTATTGTTATTATTATTATCACTATTATTATCATTATTATCATTATTATTATTATTATGATCATCATCATTAGTAGTTGGTATCTCTGTATATTTATCGCATGATGTTGTCGATCGTTTCAGACGAGATGATGAACGAACTTTACTTTCATTATTGCCAACTTTTGGTAAATTTGTTTGTGCACATTTATCTTGAATAGATGACGATGGACGAAAACTAGAATAAAAGAGTACTAACGAATTATTGCTAAATATTTGGTTTAAATCATAGTTAATTAAGTAAAATATAAATAATCTCTTATTTTTTGCATACTAATTTAAAACAGAATAGATCATAGAGATTCCATTAGTATTCAAACATTATGTATAAAATATGTATACTTTTGTACCAATAAAGAAGCCCTTCAATAACATATCAATGTATTTTAACGTCTATCATACCTTTCTAATGATTCCAAAATTTCTCCAAGGTCACGTTTTGAATTACGACTAGTTGGTGTTTGTAAGTTTTGACGATAATGATAACCATTTGTACGACTTGGAAATTGTGTTCTCTGAGGCTTTTGTTGTTGTTGTTGGTGATGTGATCTTGATGATTTTCGTTCTTCATTATCATACAATGTATTCAAAAAATTATAAACTGCACGACGATCTAATAAAACATATAATTGTTTAGAATATAATTTTTAGTAAACTTTTCTTTTTTAATTATCCTAAAGAGAACATATTTTTTAAAATATTTACCATCGGTGCCTGCATGTGAAAACCAAGATTCAACCGTTTCTTTTGGCCAAATTCGTTGTTTTAATTCATATTTATGTTGTCTCGGTAAAATTGGCGATAATAGTTTTGATGTTTGTGGAACAACACCGGTTTTATGACAGGATAAACTTCGATGATCCAATTGACTACGCGACTGAATAACAAGACAAAATAAAAATACAATTATATACAAATTAAGTATGCTTCTAACTGACAGTAGACAAACTTCGATATAACAACATTTATTAAGTAAAGTAGGTCGGTTTTTTACGATATTGCAGTGAACATTAGCATGTTCATATAGTAAGTACTAGAGCTTCGAGGACTCAGTCGGAATCGCCTGGCCTCTGGACTGATCAACATTTTTTCTCGGAACAGGCTGAACTGAGAAAGTTTTCTCCATAGTTTTGATTAACTTTGACTATTTTATAGTGACAGTAAGTGTTAGTATCATCTAATGAAGTCTGTTATTAAAAATAAACTTCTATTTCGAAAATCCTATTTGAAATGTGTAAAACCATTGTTCAATTTAATATCAAAAGTATAAATTTCACAAATTATTTCTATATTTGCTACCATATCTCGTTGAACTCTAACTACTTTTTATATATGAGATCTAACTACATAAGAATATAATAACGTGAGAATCAACTAAGAACACGTAAGAAAAATAAGAAAGTGCCGGAAATGCTTTTTTTATTATTAAAACGTTGCTATAATTTAGAGTGAACAGGTAATGCAATCTAAAAATAAAATGCGGTATTCTCACTATTGCGTGTAGTCATAGTCTAATTTGATCTAAATTTACATAGTTTTTAATAAACAAGGTGGAACCAGTTTATATAATTAAAATGAGATATATTCAATTGTTCAGAGAGGTGTAGCTAGTCAATATATATCTATTTATATCAATCAAAGCAAAAAATAAAATATCTACGAACTCCATATTATTCTTATTTTTGGAAACTAAAAAATACATCTCATTATATGTACAAGAAAATAAATTATTCTATTAAGTAGAAATAAATCAAATCATTTAACTAGTTTAATATCATTAATAACATACTTACACGATGCATTTTGTACGTTAGTGGTTTGTATATTTAAATTTTTATATAATTCTGACTACCTGTATAGATTTGAATGCACATATAATAATAATAATATGTTTGACGAGATCTTCTAAGTTAACTCTTTTTTTTAAATTAAATTTGACTTGTCAAATAAAACACATCGTAAGTTAAGAAACCCTTTTAATTTCTTTATTTTCAAAAATGTGAAGAAAATAAAACGGAAGAATAACACGACGAAAACACTTTGAAACAAAATAAGAGAAAAATTATTTCGCGTGTTTTAAGTTCAATTTTTTTTCTTTTTTATAGAGAAAAATTAAAAACTTTAGGGTGTAAGTAACGTTGATACTTTTTTCCATACAACATCATCATTATGTTAACTTGAAGAAAAAAAAAGAGAGAATCATTATTTTGTTATTTATTGACATTGAATGTCGTAGCAACTATCTTTATAGACAAACCCAATGCCAACAGCGAACAGTTGATGATGTTAGATGAAGAACAAGAATGAAACATTGATATTGTTGTATTATATTTATAAAAAATAACAAATCTCATATAATATCTCTCTCTCTCTTTCTCGTTTTCTCCTCTTTTGTTATCCACTTTATAATGTACTCACTTAAGAAATGAAATAGAAATGAAGCATTGTAATAAAAATGATTAAATGAAAATAATATAAAAAAAATCTTTTAGTAAACAAATTATTATTGAAGTTAATAACAACAAGAGTAGAGAATCACATCACTAGGAAAATATCGACTTAATAAGAACTAATAAACGTAATTTAGTATTTTAGAAAAATTAATTCATTCATTTATTCATTGTGACACAGTGTTTACTGTTAGAATGAGCTCGTAATCGACATATTGTTACTAAAAAAATCTTTTTGACTTTTGACTACTACATTGCTAAAATTTCAATCGTGTCGAAATCGGCATTATTATTCTGACAGTGCATGGTTTCAACTTCATAAATACGATAAGTGTCAATACATAGTATCTCTCATAAATCATAAATTTCTCATACAATACGAAGTGTTCCTCATAAATCTTTGAATACAATGAAACTCTAAACATATTTGCTTTTGTTCTCTCATTACAAGAACCTGAGCCGGATAACAGGTGTATGAGTCATGAGGTGTTTATGTGAGGTATTATCAAACTGTAAAACTGACCTTCGAATAAACTACCAAACAACCTAAACATGTAAAACGCAAAATACGCACTTAAATTTAAAGGGCGGGGTCCAAAATCCTGTCGAATCAGCCCCTTCTCAAAATGCTTTAATTTCGATGTAGATCGATAGAGAATTCAATTCTATGTAGTTTTCTGTAGTTTTCTGAGCTTCGAAATGCATTTTGTTGCAAAAAGAAATTATAATAAATTACCAACGTTTTTGACGCTGAATTGCCATTAATAATTTATTTTCGATAGAAAATGGGACTGGAACTTTTTTTCAAATATGTCAGTTGATAGAGCTCGACGAGCTGATCAAGAATATATGGGAATGAATGCTTGAAAGTAAAAATAACCGTTACTTTTTATCAAAAAATCACTTCGGATCTAACTTTTTAGGGCTATCTGTCACGGTATTTCGCTTTTTTCTCTACCATTCAAGCTTTACTCACAAACCATTCCTAGTGTAATGAGTGTCCCTTGAAGAGAGTTACAAGAATATGTATAAATAATTGATTCGACTAATTGGGATCATTGTAAAATCTCCAGCATAAGCTCAACAGCACTTTAATGATCTATATTTTTGCTCCTCTTTTGCTTTTTCGCCATCATGGAAACTTTAACCACAAGCCATTTCTAGTGTAATGAATAGCCCATGGAAAGAGCTACAAGAATATGTATAAATAATTGGATCAAAAGTTTGGGATCATGGTAAAATCGCGACAACAAGTTCAACATAATTGAAAATCAGTATAAGTTTGGGAATAAATTTTTACCATCAAGAGTCGTTTTCAAAGCAAAATAAAGGTAATGTTCGTAATTAGCGCTAATGACTGAGTCGAATGATGTGCGGTTCATGGTTTTAGCAAAACTTTCGTTTCTTCATCAAAAATCGCCTCTGTGGGACGGGACCATAAACGAATTTTTAGTTTTTTTTGCATGAGGTGGACCTCATCTGGTACCTATCAGTCACCAACACGGGGCAGATGCCTGTCGACTGGACCAGCTGGTAGACCAAGCTGTTTGACTAGATCCCGTCGAACGGACCAGCTGATAAGTCTCTACCGGACCGGGATCAGCGACTCGATCGCCTGAGCGGATTGCATCTCTGCTGTTACAAAAAGAGAGATATTTTACAATTAAGCTGAACCTATTTTAGTAACTTTTACACCTTTGAGTAAATTATCAAACAACCTAAACATGTAAAACACACAAATACGCACTTTTTATCAACGTGCTGATTTCTGAAAAATTTTTGGGTGCCTTTATGCCATTTTTTGTTTCTATTTTTGCCGCACATAGGTTAATTTTGTTTGATACCATAGGAATCTGTTCAAATCAGATTGTTTTTGAAACTTTAGAAACGAAAGAAAACGTTGAAAAGGATGTATGTCATAGCGTTATGAGAGTAAGATGAACTTCTCGAAAAAGATTAATTTTGGAAACTTTTCTTTTTATCAAATGAAAGTCCAAAATATTTTCTACAAATTGTATTTTATTGTTTTTTGAAACGATTATAGTACTAGCAAAAAAAATATTGAGGCAGAAAAAGTTTTGTGGTTTTAGAGGTTGAAAAACGTCACGGCATTACGCTTGTATTTTTCAAATAAAAACTAAATAAGAAACGTTCGCAAATTGGTTATTGTATTTCATCTGCAGAATGTTTTGACTTTCGAGAAAATTAAGTTACTTGATCTTTCTTGTTCAGGTCGATCAATGCTAAACTCAAACAGTAAAACGTCGCTCCAGTATTTTCTCGACTACCTCTTAACTGAGATCACTGCAATAAAATGAATTGCCAAATTAGACAAAAAATCTACAATACAAAATCTAACAATACAAAATGAATTACAGTTGAAACAAATAAAACAATAGTGGATCTGTAGTGTTGCACAAAGGTTTCATGACCAAAAATAGATATTAATCGTCATCATCGTCTTTTAAATATTGATTATCAAAAAACTTTATATAGATTTCAACTTGAACCTTTCAAAAAGAAGGTGATAGGGTATGCAGAAACGCTACTTTAACCTATACACATTTGTCCTCGATATAGTCCTATATGCCACATGCATAGAAAAAAATATGATTTCATAATAATAACAGAGTCTGCTATTGAATTAGAAACCACTTTTTATCTCAAATGTAGTACAGTCTTTTTCTCATATGTTTGAAAGAGTGAAATCAAAAATCCGTCCGTGATAAAGGCTTTATATAGTTCATTTAGCTAGTTTCAGTTTTTCAATATTCTATTTTTGTTGTTTGTTTTTTTTTGAAAGAATGTACTATCTTCAGAAAAATTTCATCATATGAAATAAAAATATTTAACGCGAAAAACTTGTACAATGAATGTATGTATGAGAGAGAGAGAGACGAAACCGCGAACGCGAATGTGTCTACATACGCACATTGCAGAGATATTGTAAATAGAAAAAATTTGATGAATACGTGTCTGAATCACTTGAAAAAGAGAAAAACATAGATCTAAATCAAATTTTAAACTTTTTCCTTCTATTTCTCTTGTGTTCAAGCTTAGTTTCTTACATAAACTATACAACAGATTCTTTTGATCTTTAAGATTATTAAAAGCATTGAAAATAAAATAACAAATGAGTACAGATCTAAAATCGAACAGAGCAGTCAAATCAGGTTTTGCTCACGAAGCCAATGAAAAGGTATGTCTAAGAATCTGCTTAACTCTAGAGAACAATAACAAATAACCATTTCTACATTGCCCACAAAGAATTAATCAGACGAGAGTGAAACATCAATTGTTTATCGTTTGCTGTTTTAGTGATATTTTGTACCGTATTTGATTTTTATCTATCAATTTCTCGTTAGTACGACGGTAACTGCAGCTTTTCTCTACCAAACTAAATTAAATAACGTTTACTTCTTCTCTTCTTCTTCTCATACAATATATACAGGAATGCAGTTTGCCAATAATACGTTCAGAAAGAAAAATCCAGAAGCATTGAGAGTTTTGTTTTGTATATTGAGAAACGATACATATAATTTCAGGTTCAATCTAAATATGATGTTGAACAAGCTCAAGAAGCATTACAATGGATAAGCGATCTGACTGGTGAAAATTTTGATACAAGCGGACAAAAAGATAATTTTTATCAACAACTGAAAGATGGAAATAAATTATGCCAGTAAGTTAAACTTATTTTAATTATTTATAGCTAAAGTTGATGTTGTCTTTTCTCTGTTTTTTTGATTAATGAATGTTTTATGTCCAAATGCTATACCAAAAATAAATTCGAGTGAAAATTCATTCAAATTGATGGAAAACATTTCAAGATTTACAACAGCAGCTAAAAAATATGGCCTATCCAATTCAGAAACATTTCAGACCGTTGATTTATTTGAACAAATGAATCTTCATCAAGTGAGCAAATAAAAGAATTTACTTTTTTTAATCTAATCTTTTGTTTTCCGGTATTTATTTCCAGGTATGTTTATGTTTGCATGCACTTGGACGAAAGGTATAATAATGCATCTAAACGTAAAATATGTGACAGATTAAATATGATTAACGCGTTCTTTTCTAGGCACAAAAGAATGGATTATCAGGACTTGGTCCAAGAGAAGCAGAAAAAAATGAACGTAATTTCTCAGTTGAAAAATTGAATCTAGGCAATTCGATTATAGGAGGTCAATTAGGATTTAATAAAGGTATTACCTACTTAAAAACGAAATAATTTTATTTTTCTACAAAAATGATTATTTATTTAGGTGCTAATCAAAGTGGAATAATATTTGGGAATACAAGACATATGTAACCAAAATGCTAATATATTTGACATATTTTACCTTTTTGCAAGTCAAAATCTTGGACTTTTTACTACATACTTTACAGTGTGAATTTTACTTTTCTTCTTATTAATTCATTTTTATATTTATTCGTGTTTTAAACTTATTTTTTAGTATTTGAAGAAAAATGCGTTTTTTTTTAGGATGATTATCCAGTTTTTATCTTTTGAATATTATTGATACCAAGACAAGAAAAGATTAAAAACGCTCTCCAATGTGGTTTATAGAGAAAACTTTATCATTTCACATGCTAATAGATAATTTTAAGGATGAGAATTTTTTGCACCCGAAAAAAGAAATGTGCCCGATTTTTGTCCAGTTCGTTTTTTAAATTGAAAGAGAAAAAATATCACTGTTTTGTGTTCGATTTTTTCCCGACAGTCTTGTAAAAATTATAACAATGTCTAAGTAGATTCAATCGTACAAATGTCCATGTTGTATAAATTTTTGTTTATAATTCGATTGAAGTAAAATTCACTGATAGATTACCGTACCCTGTATGAGGGTGCTGCTCTTGTAGTTTCATCTACAAACAATGATTTGAAATCTATTAGCTAAAATAAAACAACACACATTAAGAAACAAATTATCTTTCTCAGTATTTTTACCGGTTATGGAAACAATGTTACTCGAATGGTTCGAAAAATCGGTGGGACTTCACTTGAGTGCGTTACATTTTAGTGCGTCTCATTTGAACACATTCTCATTTTAGTGTGTCTTAGTTTAGTGCATCTTATTTGAGTGCGTTTTCAGTTACACAACTCATTCCTCAAAATATTTTTAAACATTTGAACTGTTTCCGTCACCACTGTTTGAGATTAATTCTTAGTGGAGAGTAATCTTTTATAGTACAAAAAGAAATAGCGTAGCTTACAATATTTTTGAACAGCATCATCTACATATTCTTGCTGCAGACCGATATTTTGAAGACTATGTTATAAGACCTGATTGATATCCAAAGGTTCTCTCTTATGAACTTGTAACAAATTTTCTCTTGAAAATTTCTCTTTTTTTAATTGTACACAATTTTCCATATTTATCCGGAATACAAAGTTTTCGTAACGATGTTGGTAGCGATGGTTCCTCCCTTTTTTATCTTGAATCTCGGCCGTGCAAATGTGGATTCCTTTAAGAAGACATGCGTTTTATAGATATAAGCCCCCTTATCATTATAATAAGAGTTACTTACTCAAATCTGGTTCATATAATCTTTAAGAGTGTTAAGACCACCAGGACAACCATATACCCGACATTTCCATAAGATCGATTCTTTTTTTAATGGCGTTCAATTCTATAACTATATCCTTCAAATTGAACTGCTTGTTTATCAAGGACTGCTTCGAATATTTCAACTTTAGCCATATTGCTTGACTTAGAACACAGAAGATCTTACCATGTAAAAAGAGTGCATTTTTCAAATTGATAGATTTTGAAAGTGTCTGGGCCAAATTAACCTGCATGTTGACTTTCACAATGCATAATGGTTTAGAGAATATGTGAACGTTGATATGTATTTACTCTCCTTTTGTTTGAAATTCAGATACAACACATGTATCTGTAATCGAAAAACTTTTCTTTTAATTTACATTCAACAGAACTCGTATAGCAGTCACCGTTTCTTTGTACATTGTCTGATCTGTTCTTTTGTAAGTCAAGAAATATGGCTAAAGTTGAAATATCCGAAACAGACCGTGGTAAACCAGCACTTCAATTCGAAGGATATAGTTATAGAATTGAACGCCATCAAAAAGAATCGATCTCATGGAATTGTCGGGTATATGGTTGTCCTGGTGGTCTTAACACTCTAAAGATTATATAAAACCAGATTTGAGTAAATAATTCTTATTATAATGAAAAGAAGCTTAAATCTATAAAACGCACGTCTTCTCAAAGGAACTCCACATTCGCACGGTCCAGATCCAGAAAAATTTGCTGTTGAAAAAGTTGTTGTTGATATGAAAAAAAGATGTGAGCATCAACTTCCATACGCTGCTTTTCAAGCATCTAGTCAAGTTGTCACTGATCCACAAATGACAGTCGCAATACCCAGTTTTGAAAGTCTTAGGTCTACATTATATCGATATAAAGGAAATAAAAATGAACCACCGACACCAACATCGTGGCGAAATCTTTGTATTCCAGATAAATATGGAAAATTGCGTATAGGAGAAAATTTCTTACAAGTTCAAAGTTCAGGTAAGAAAAAACCTTTCGATTTTCTTATTCTTAAATGTTTTAATTTCCTGTTCAGGATATGTGGTACTCGGGACAGAACACGGGCTTCGTTTCTTGTTTAATGCTACAGAAGTCCATGTTGATGGCAACTTTAAAGTTGCACCAACGTCACAGGCCGGTGGAACACCTTCTTACAGAATTATTCTCATTTTTCGGTCTATTCTATAATAAACTATTACCATTAGCGTTTGTCTTTTTTAATGGAAAATCGAAAAAAAATACGCACCCAAATAAGACGCACTAAACTAAGGCACACTAAAATGGGAGTGCACCCAAATGAGACGCGCTAAAAAAACACGCACTCAAATGAGATGCACTCATATGCCACTCCCATCTCCCCCGGTCTGAATAACAGTTCGATTTAGTAATGATACAGCCATACGCATGTTGTTCCATCATCGTATTATAAACAATATACATCTAGTGCCTGGCTACAAACTTATAATAAAATGTCTTGGATTCAGTTTGTTGAGTTCCCATCGTGGCTGTATGCGGGAAGATTGATCACCATACCTATGATATGTTCATGCAGGACACATTTGAAAACTTATGTTTATAAAGATGCAGTTGGAATTATGATGCATTTTGGTTTTTATGTAGTATCCTATCCAGAAAAACTAGATGATTTAAATAAACATCGTGGACGTCAAAAAAAGGCAACACCAGTTTTCTATCACTAACATTATCATGTTATAGATATGTACAGCGTTTTCGATAGAAGTTTTGGTGGAGGGCCGAGAGTCTGCGAGTAACTAAAGTTTTTTCTTGAGTAACGCATTTTTTGACTAAAATTTCTTTCTGAGTAACTGCATGTTTTAAGCTAATTGAAGACTAGCTTAAAACACCAAAGTACCTATAAATCACTTACTCAGGTGCATAAAAGCCAGTTTACCAGCAAATAAATGATTTACTCAGAAGCTAGAGAAAATCATTTATCCAGGTGCATCAAAGGCAGTTTCTCGACTTAAATTTCTTAAAAAATTTCTAAGTAAGTCAAAATTTTTTAAGTAACTTTATTCAAACGAGGGAGGTGGATTTCCACCCGCTACCGCCCCCTAATCGATAACGCTAGATATGTAATTGATTTTTTTGGTAGTATTCATTAAATACAGAGTCTTGCGAACAAACCGGGCACAGGCACAAAACTTTTATTTCTTCAAATTTCAATTAAAAACCGTAAACGTGGCACTAATCACTGCAATTACTGGGCACATTTCTTTTTCCGAACACAGAAGTGTGAAAACATTTATTAGTGCCCGGCACTAGGCACGAATAAATGAGAAAGCCGGGCACAAAAAATAATTTTTCGTGATTTTAAAAGGCAAATAAGATTCTTATCGACAGACCAGAATGCCTGTCTATTAACGCTTAGACAATACAAGATCGAAGAAATCGAAAAAAAGTTGGTTATAAAAAAATTTGACTACCTGTGAGAGATCTAAACGTTTTTACAAGAAAACTACTGAATATTAAAGCTATGGATTATTTATGTCTATAACTGGGAAAAATAGTTAGCTTTTAACTTAATGGTGCAATATATAAAAGATAGCTTTCAGAGAAAGTCAGTCTTACGAAGTTTAAAAAGAGTAAGTATTAGAAACATCTTCGTTTTCATTGTATAGCAAATTATTTTGAGTAGTTTATAGATTATCTTTATATTTACTCCATCATATCCATTCTTCATATCGAGAGAAGTTATATATAATAAACAAAAATAAACTCAGCAACGTTAACACCTTGTATGATCACAAAAAAAAGAAACGAACAAATAAAGACCACATACAAGAAAAATTTAATTTCCTAATAAGAAAAATGCAAAAATAGTATAAAAACAAGATAGAACAAAAACATCTCACACGGGTAGAATGAAAAATAATTTTAAATTTATGATTTTTTGATAAAATCTCCTTGTACTTTTTGTCTTAAATAGTCTTTATATGACATAATATCGCCAGGCCATTCGGTGACAACTTGCTTCTCACATACCCATATTTTATCTGCCACCTGTAAAGAGGACAAAAAATAATAATTAAAAAAAAATAAAAGAAATAAAAGAAGAGCATACTTGTTTAATTAGACGAAAGTCGTGACTAACAAGAATCATACCGCCGGCAAAACTTTTAATCGCATCAGCTAAGGCGTCGATCGTTTCAATATCTAAAGAAGAGACAATTTTCTTTCTATAGAAAGTAATAGAGTAAATGTCTTACCAAGATGATTTGTTGGTTCATCAAGAAGTAATAAGTGAGGTGCTTGCCATGCTATATATGCAAAACTAACACGACAACGTTGACCATCAGATAAATTACGCATAGGACAAATCTGTTGTCTACCAGATAGACCAAATCTTCCAATAATTTTTCTCATTTCTTCTTTTTCCGTTACTTCTGGAAAACATTGCATCATATATTCGAGAGCGGACATATTCAAATCCAATGTTTCAGCTAAATGCTGATGATAACGTCCCATTCTAACATGACTGTTTCGTCGAATTTGACCAGATGTTGGTAACAATTGATTATCAATCAATTTGAGAAGTGTTGATTTTCCGGCACCATTTGGACCAACCAACGCCACTCTTGTATCCAAATCAATACCAAAATCAAGATTTGTATAAATCCACTCACTTGTATCAGAATAACGAAATGATACACCTTGAACCATGATGACTGGTGGTGGAATTTTTCCCGGATCAGGAAATGCGAGTGACAACGTTTTATCATGTACCACTCTTTCAGTCAATCCAGCTTCAATCATTTTCTGAAGTTGTTTTTCTCTACTTTGTGCTTGTGAAGAACGTGATCCTGCTCCAAATCGTGCTATGAAACCCTAAATTAAAACACACACATTTAAATTTAGTTTATATACTTAGAATTGAACGTACTTTTGTTTTTGCCATTTGTTCTTGTTGCCCTTGATATCGTTTCATTTGATTTGTTTCTAATTCAAAACGTGTTTGAACATAAGCATCATAATTTCCACCATAGATAAATAATTGTTTTTTATGTAAATGTACAATATTAGTGCATACACCATTAAGAAAATCTTGCGAATGAGATACCATCACCAAAATGCGTTTATAATTCCTTAATTCTTCTTCTAACCATACACAAGCATCTAAATCCAAATGATTTGTTGGCTCATCTAAATAAAAAAGAAAAAAAAATCTAAATAAATAAAATAATTATTTACTAAAAATAATTACCAAGTAATAAGAGATGTGGAGAGACAAATAATGCTCTTGCCAATGCAATTCTCATTCTCCATCCACCACTGAAATCTTTGCATTTTTTTTGTTGCATTTTCTTCGTAAATCCAAGACCATGCAAAATTCGTCCTGCTCGAGTTTCAGCTTTGTCTGCACCCAAATCATCCAATCGTTCATAAATATCTAACAAACGTTCTTGAGATTCTAAAATGGAAAAGATAATCGATAATTTTAGTCACAACTAAGGCTGTTTAGGAAGTTAGTCTGAAGTCGAAGTTTTCAACATGTGGAAGAGAATAAATTACTACTTCAATAGTAAAAATAGATAAAATTCACATATTTCTACAACCCAGTTTAAAAACATTAATGAAGCATTTTTCTAGAAAACGATACTCGGTAAGTCTTATTCTTTCTCTCATTTTCGTGTGTTGAACTGTTAGTTTTATTGCACAATTGTATCTGATCGAGTTCCACAGTTATAATGTATCGTTACGATACTGTTGTTTGCTCAAATTTTGGTAGAAACTGGCTGCCCTTAGAATCACAGTCTATATGAATAGTTTCAGATGTTTTATTTTTCCTCTTTTACAATTAGAAATCGGAGCCATATGACAGACAGAAGATAAGAGTCTTCCCTCTCGGTATGTACCCATTTTCCAATTAGGGAATCAACTGTAACAACTATATACTAGTAAACAAGTTGTCAACAATAATCTTATTTCTTATCAATTATACATTAATTGTCCATTCATAAGTCAATATTGTTTTAGTTATTTATTCTTATCATTTATGTAATACGAGTCATTTATTTTCTTTTATCAATTAATGAGACGACCATTAACACATCATTTAGTATAAATATAATTTTGTTCATCAAAATTCTGTCTTCAAATGGTAAAATCAGAAAACTAACAACATAAAAGTATATTGAAAAGTTTTTTTTTAAAGATATTATGGAGTTTATTATTATTAACTACATTTTGAACTGCATCTATTCAACATTTTTTCATTACAATTCGTTTATTTACGGATTTCTTTATTCTAATAAGCTCAATTAATTCGATAATGAATCTTGAATGCCATTAGAGGAATATTTATTCAATTGTAGTGGGCGAAAAACGCTCTTCTTTCTATTATGTTTTACACATGGTAAATGTCTCAATTAAGAAAACGAAAAATAACACATTATATTACATACACACACACATTCTTTTGTTTAAAGGACAATAGATATTTTTAACTATGAGTATGAGTATACACTTTGTACAGGAAATCTTCTAGTATACACATAAAATATTCAATACATTCTAAAATCTACACATAAAAAAAAAATAAAAAATTAAACTAATAAAAATTTGCTATTAATTGAAGGAAGCATTTTGATTGTGTTGATTGTGTATACACTACGCTCAGTAAACAAATGAATATATTATTTGTTTCAAATGTGATAATAATTTTTTTTGACACTATGTTCTATTTCTTCTAAATTCACACTATACAATTTTAAATATTTTAAAAACAAAGAAATAAATTAAGGTAAAATTAGCTAATATGATTGACAGTCAAGCTGAAACTCACTCCCTATCAGAAAAATAATCAATACTTTAATCATTTCTATTTACTAATCTTTCAGACAATGACTTATTTCAATCATATATCACCGTGAAGAAAAAGATAAAGTTCATTTAGAGTTGTCGACAAGTGCTTTTTTGTATTCAGTATACTCGATAACCCAGTAGATTTTCTATTTTTGGCGAGAGTTACTGTCAAAAATTTAGAAAATTTACTGGGTTATCGAGTGTGTTGAATACGAAAAGGCATTTTTCTACGATTCTAAATGAACTTTATTTTTCTGTCAGTGATAATGAACCTTTTCATTTTCTTGAGTCTTTGTTTTAGAGTCATAGATATTCTTGTAGGAGAGAACATAATCTTTTGGCGATCTATATTTTGAGTGATTTAAACGTTTTCATTAAATATGTTAAAATAACTGGTTTTATTAAAAATATCCATTGTTAAAACAAACTTTTGCTATTTTCTTTTCTTCTTCTTTTATATTGTTTTTATTATTCGATGATTATCATGTGATTTTCTTCTTTCTATTAAATTTTCTTAAATAGAAAAATTAAATTATATTCACCAAAATAAGATGTTTTTTCTCTTTTATTGAATATAATAATAATTGTTCACTTGTCAATTTTAACTTTCAACAATGAACTTAAATGTTTTTGATCATTTTTTATTTTAAATTTGTTTAGTTATATGAATCAATTCAAATTATCTGGATGATGAAAGTACGCTTATTCACATTCGATTATAGTGATAAAAGCTCTTTCCTTTTTGTTTTGTTCTTTCCTTAAAGAATGAATGAATATAGTCAATGTTGTTTGTTACAGTTATCGATTGTAAATAATATTTTTGAATATGTAGGCACAGGATAAAGGAAATTAATCAACTTAATTCTATAATAATAATAATAATAATAATAATAATAACAACAGTTTATATTAAACTAGATCGAGTAACAGTTTACTTTTCCTAAAGCGTTTTAAGAAAACAATCGTATACACAATTGATGTTTTATCCTCAAGGCTATTCGATTTTAGAGATGAAAAAACACAAAAAAAATCTCGTTATGAAAAAAATATTAATTTTTTAACAAGATTTGAAGAGTCCATAATACTCGTCTCTAGTCAAACTGAAAGAAGTTTTACATTCAATTTTTAAAGAAATTTTTTCATCCCTTACTTTATTCTTTTTAATAAACTATCATCCGAATATTTTTTCTTTTTAAAATAAAACCAAAAAAACAAAATGATAAATTAGATCGTCTATCACACTATTAAACAAAAATACAATATAAGAATACTAGAGATAAAATGTCTACTAAACATAATCTTTTTTCTTCTTCTTCTTCTTCTTCTTATCATCGTACATCGTTAAACCCCACAGGGACTTTGATCACATGAATTAAAGACACTTTTCTATGACAGTCAAATTCTTGCCTATTTCCCACGGCAAAAGAACTATCGCACTTTATTTTTATTTTTTCAATATAAAACATATATTATTTCCGCAACACACACATATTAGAGAAGTTAAATGAAAAAAAAAATAGGTTGTTGAACTATCAATATCTTCTTCTTTTTTATGAACAATGTGTTCAAATAGGCAAAAGAGAAATGATTATCAGACAATTATTTGCATTAAAAAAAATGATTTATGTCTAATAATACATTTTAATAAAGAGAAAGATTCTTTCGTTGTTGTTACTAATAGATGTTTTACAACCTGATTCGTTGATTCGTTAAACTGGTGGTTGGTTAAACTCGCGGGATTCATAGAGAATTGTGACAATATGTTTGTCTTTCTCTAGATACGTTAGAATGTTATCACCGTTTTATTTCGGTGATGTTCTACGTATATAATCTCAACATGAGTTGAGTGAAAAGTTACAGAAATGCAGTCTCGAGGACTGTGCGCATAGTAAGAACCAGTCCAAGTTTCCAAGGCTTGGGCTTTTCTGTAACGAATAGGCGGTTGTAAAACATATCTATTAGTATCAAACAAGTTAAAAAATCAAAATGATTTTTCGTTGTTGTTGTAGTTGTAGTTGTAGTTGTTTTTTTTGACTAAATTACAGTTAATGAGTTTTTTATATTGAGATAAAAATCCTGAGTTGAAGAAGAAAAAAAAGAAGAAAGTTTTATGAATAAGAGAACTAGATGTCTATATAAATAGAATATCGATTATTTTTTAATAGTCAATGTTATGTTATAGTCGTCACTACAAATCAAATATTCTCTATTTCAATGATGTTTCGATACAAAACATAAAAATTCGTCAATGAACAAAATTGAACAAAAACTTGTAATCATTTCGATAACATACAAACATGTCATATCATCGAACCATTGTACAAAAGGTAAGTTGAATATAAAAAAAATCTTTCATCTTGTATCAACATCATCTGATAATTTTATTAGTTATCCTTATTTAAAAAGAAAAGAAAAAACAAAAAAATTGAAAAAATCTTAGACTTATCAAACCATTTATTAGATAGACTTTTTTCCCTATTCATTTATCGATCGGTAAAGACATTCTTTTAAAAGTTTAGAGTAATTATACAAAGTAGATCCATCTAATTAATTAGAAGTGGCAGTTATATATGCTTCTAATCATGTTTAGAGAACCGCCTTTTCATCCACCCAGAAACAAGCAAATATAAAAGAGACGAACATATAAATAATCGAGAACAAAAACAAAACTATCCTCTGGAATGATTGATGTTTGTTGAACATGCTAAACAAAAAGTTTTGTTGAAATATCAAATTACCTAGCGTGTTTTTTTTCTTATCCTCAAAACACTCTCGTGTTAGATCGGAATATGTGGAGAGAGAGAAAGATGCAGAAACAGAAAATTGCAATGCAATAATAATAATAATAATAATATGTATAAAAATGATTCGATGTTATATGATAGAAACAATCATCAATCGCAGATCATATGTTAAAACAAAACAAAAAAAAGTGTTTCTGTACATAGTGGTTTATATGAATGACATTATTTGTTATAAAAAGTTATCTGGAGGTCACTTATGATTAAGAGATTAAAATAAAGAGATTTGAGTTAAAAGAGGAAAAAAGGAAGAGAAATAATGGCGATCTAAATGGGTGTTCTTGTAATAAAACATGTCTCGTTTTTTACATGGTGCCATTAATAATTAATTCTACAGAGACAAATAGGTTATAATACTTTAGTCAAAGAAAAGATTTTTGAATGCTTTATCATGATATCAAATTATCTTTTTTATCTCTATACATATATATATATATATATAATAATAATAATAATGAGAAGTAGGACGAGGTTCACACATAAGTAATAAGAGATAAAAAAATTTGTATTTTTGCTTTTAATATTCGCAACTAACTTTTTAGTTTTTGGAGTTTAAATATTGTTTTATTTTTTATTTTTTGTTTTACAAATAATCATCATTCATAAATGAACTAACCATTTTTCTATAGTTAGATAGTTTTTGACAGAATAAGAAATAAAACTGAATCTTATCGTACAATGAAAACATAGACACATAAGCTCATGATTTTTTGCTATTTTTTATTTTTTTGGAACAAAAATTCTAATCTCTTTTACAGTTTGAGGAATCTAATTTTTATGTCTATGTGGTGATTAGTATAACATTTGAGAGTAAAAAGAAGAAAAAAGAAAAAAAAAAAGAAGAAAAACTAAAGGAAACAGATACACGGAAGAAAGAAGCACATACAAAATCAGTCAAAAGAAACAAAAAAATAAGTTAGTAAATTGCATAAGACGATAGTAGTTAATAATAGTGTAATAAATGGTATGTGTTAGACCCATCTAGAGTATAGAATTTTTATAATTAATCCACAATAGGTAAGAATAGTCGATACTTGTTCTTTAGTTAACGTTTGTACTCTAAGATTTTTATATTATATTATCGTTAAAGAACTTAAAACAGATAAAAATAAGGATAATAGAAGAATTAAAAAGGAAAACAAAATGTTAAACATCTTATAAAAGTATGTTGAAAGAGAAGGAGACACCCTTCAGATATCAAAATATTAAAAAACTAAATTTTTGTAATTATATACAGTCTAAAATAGAATCTAAATATTTTCATCCCACAGGGCAAAATTAGACTTTTCCAAAAAAATCATCATCTCCTGAAGTTGAACAAATAACTTTAGTTTCTACAATTTTTAAGCTTAAGGGGTAAACACTTTTTTTTTTTGATCTAGATATGCTTACATATAACTAACATGAGTCCATTCCCACGAGCAAATTAACTACAGACGAGATAAAGCTTGAGCTATTTAAACACTAATCATTTCGTTAATCTTCTGCTTGAATAAATAAGAAATTTGAATCATCATACTGTTATTCAAGCAAAAAACAACAACAACGATAAGAAAAATAAGAAAAAAAGTCATTTTATTTTTAAAAATAGAACATATTATTTCCGTTTGAGGTAGTTTACTTTTCAAAGAAGAAATATTTTTTCTTCTTTCAATACAACATTATCGTCTATGTCCATTTTTTTTGTTATTTTTTAAAAGGATAAATAATTGCTGTTAAAAATTAAATGGAAATATCAAGAGTACGTACATCGTTGAAATCAAATTTACTAACAAATAATAATAAGAGTAACAACAACAATAAACGTCGTCTAGATGGACCAGTTGCATTTGGAAGAATTCCATTATCATCTATAATAGCCACACAAAAACGACAAACAATTAATTCAATTAAACATGAACCATTATTGACAAAAACAACACCCGTAACAACAACAATAGCAAAAAATTTGAGAAAAAATTCGACAACACCAAAAGTTAAAAGTTTATGGATGAATATTGGACGAAATTCATTATCAACAACACCCGAACCGCTATTATCTAATCGACCAAGACGTAGTCAACTTAGGAAAAAGTTACTACGTCTCTTACTTGTCTTTAGTTATTTATTATCCATATCGCTATTTGCCATTGCATTAGCAACATTTTATGGATTTTTTTGGACTGCACATCTCACACCAACATCGTCAGATAATGATACATTAGTTACTGACGATACAAGTACAATATTTCATAGTAAATCACGGGTAGATCAGTAAACAATGATCTTATTATAGGAGAAAAAACTAGTGAAACTAAGGTACGAGTTGAATTCAAAAAATCAACAGAATTTTTTTTCCACCTTTTTTGTGCTAGGTGGATACAACTCATCAAATTACCTAGAATTTTAGACTTTCGGAAAACATTTTTTCGTCAAAAGCTTTTAAAATATTGATCTTTTTAAAAATGGGCAAAAACGAGGAAGTTTTCGAGTAATAAGCAAAATTTTCATGTTTGTTCAATTTTAAAATCATTTTTTTCTTATTTTCCATTCAAAACTGAGTCTGAAAAGCTAGTTTCAGGAATTTTCGAAGCTAAAATGAACTCAGAATCTCCGAAACACGAGCAGAATAGTAAAAGGACTGCCGGTCAATTTTTCAAACCTATCGTGTCCTATGGTTTAGGAGATAAAATTTGCTTTTACTTCATTTTGATCGACATACTCATGGAAAAAAAGCATCGAATTTCAGTCGAAATCCAAAATTATCTAAAAATTACGACACTTGATTTTTAAAGCTGAGTCCGAAAATGGGATTATTTTTATTGGAAAGTTGAATTTCGATAAAGGAAATGGTAAAATACCAGCCAAATGTCATGATTTTTTCACTGAGTTCGAAACAATTGTCTTTTACGGGAACAAAAAATCTTCCCCGAAAGAATACGTCGCCTTTTTTTCCATACGTGTGTCGATCAAAACGAAGTAAAAGAGGAAATTTTATCTCCGAAATCGTAGGATGAGATAGGTTTGAAAAATTGATCGGCGGCCATGGATTAATTGGCAAAAAACATTTCTGCTGATTTTTTGAATTTCCTGCACCTTACTAACTGAGAAAATAAGCCGGGTTAACATGTGAATCTGAGAGACATAATCTACTCTTAACTGGAAAGCGAGTGATTAGCCATTGTTCAATTCAACGCGATTCTTCATTTCTGTTTAATCTAAAATCGTTCCTCTTCTACTTTTCAGGAGACCAGATTAATAAGAGGATTAAAAAACAGGCCTCTTAGACTATCGAAAACTTAACGTTACTATTCGAATTCATTCCAAGATCCACTAGTTTGTTTACTATTAATAAATATAACCCTATCAAGGTAAAAAAAAGTGCATTATTCTTGAAAATTTTCTAAATTTAAAAAAACAAAACGTAATAATTTTTATGTTTGCTGAGACGTTAGTAATCCAATTATTCACAGATAAATGCAATCTCTATATAAAAAAATATGTTAAAATACATACGTATATGCAAAATAATGGTAATTAAAAACTATATAGCCATCATGAAAGAAAATTTGTAAAAGATTGGATTAAAACACATTTCAAATGAGGGATTTATCTTCCATTTTAGAAATATCACATAATCTAACGAGACTACGACAAATTCCGGTGATTTATGATGTTATTAAATTTAATATTTTATACATGTTTTTTTACGAATGATAAATCCGGTTTTTTTCTCACTTTTTATCTTCTTATTTTTTTTTTCTTTTTTTTACAAAAATTTATTTGGTTTTTTTAATTGTTATATTATACGTCTATTTTTATTTAAAATGTGAGAGAAATGTTTGTTTTCTTCACTAAAATAACAGAGAAAACTTCTACATGCATAATATTTATACGTACCATCATCATTATGTGCTGCGAGTCTTTCTGCTTCAGTTTCTAATCGAATTCGTTCTTTATCAACTTCCATGACACATTGTAATGCTGATTTATTTAATGGTGCCATTTCACGGCTCAAATAAAATATGTCAACGTGTTCTAAAGACCAAAAAAAACCCAGAGTAAAACTTCAATAAATCAACATATCATACTTGAAGAATAAGAACAGCATACCTGGTATAGGGACTTCACGATTTCCTAGACATGCTAACATTGTAGATTTTCCTATAAAGAAATGAAAATATTTATAAAGATCCAATTAAATAAAACTATCTATTGTCAAATTCTTACCTGATCCATTTAATCCCACTAATCCATATCGTCTTCCACAATTCATTTCAAATTCTGTATCGGCCAATATTTCTTGTCCCCAAAATGATAGAGAAAATTGATGAATGTGAACATCCCTTCCATGAGGATGTGAGCCAAGAACACCTAGAAAGCAAGATAGTACAGAACAAATGTAAGATGATGACTCAATAAATAGTCAATTATCATACCTGTACAGGATCGTGCATCAGTATTCATCTTTTCCACCATTGTTAACACATCCATATTTTGTATTAATGATTTAACATTCGCATCCTCTGCCATAGCTATAATATCAACAATACGTTCGTAATTATATATCGAAAAATACAAGAAATGAAAACAAACCCGCATCATTTGTTGAACCATTGGATAATCCATTTGTAGATTCCTTTACTGTCGTTGTTTTTGTTGTTGTTGTCGTTGTTGTTGTTGTTGGTTCTTCATCATTTACTTCCTCATCATCATTTTCTCGCTCATCATTGTTTTCATCATCGTTTGTTGTTAAAGATGCTGTTGTTGATTTTTTTTGTTGATATCGTTGTTTTCCAACCGCTTTTTTTTGTGCTTCACGTTTCTTTTTAGAATCGGACGGCATTTGACACTAATACAAATGAAAATCTAGAAAAATGAAGAATAAAACGAAAAATTTTTGATTTTTCTGAAAACATATGTTTGATTATGATTAAAAGTCTTATTTACAAATAAAATATAGAAAAATACAAGAAATTTTTTATTACTTTAAAAAACTATCTGACAAATTTATTCTAATTATGTAAAAATAATATCTGACTACACATATGTCTTTAAACAATATGTTCCACAATCTTTTTTTGAATTAAATGTTCAGCATCTGATGTCATTACAAAATGTTCACTATTAAGTGTGAGATTAAATGTTGTACCGTCTAATGCTTCATAAGGACCATAATCGATTAAACATTTGACATGTACATGTAATTTTTTTGGTGGTTGAGTATAAGACAATAAATCTAATGAATGATTATTTCCTATTGATCTCATATATGATGAAAGAGTTTGATTATAATTTGAAAAAAAATCTAACTCATTTAATGATAAATTATTTTTAATTGATTCTGTTAATATTGATCCTGTGGTCCAACGTAAACGTTTTATTTTATTTAAACGTTGATATGAATAGGTTAGAAGACAACGTTTTATTCGTTGAATGGCTGCATGTCTTAAAGCGATAGTAGGTAATAATGTTTGATCACTTTGATTAATAACACTTTGAACATCTTCATGATTTTGACGATACAATTCATTTGATTCTAATTGACAAAAACGAATTGTTTCCATATTGTGTGGTGGTATAGAAGCATCTTGACTACGATCCAATTCTTTAATTAGTTCATGAGCTTTTGATGCTAACATTATTTTTAATATCTAAAAATACAATAGATAGATAATAATAAAATTTAGTTGAATACTGAACGTAAACTTCTGTTTTCAAAAAACAACAACAACAAAAACTTTGACAAAAATAATGTTAATATAAAGATGATTACGATGATAGTCGATAGATATCTCGAATAGGAAATATATGATGAATGAAGAAAGATCGATTCTCTTTTTACATATCTTAACAGTATGGATATTTTTGTACGTTGTTTATAGTGAGTAAACTCAAAGTCTTACTAAAAAGTTCGAAAACGTAAAAAGATGCTTATATGCAAATCAATAACAATATTTTTATTATCAACAAAAATCAAAAATATACAAGAAATAAAAGGTGATCATGATAATTTTAGCACTTGCTCTATAGAAATGAAAAAAAATTTTTTCAAATTTATTCAATAAATAGACTCTTGTAGTAGAGGTGATAAAAACAACACTATGTATCCAGAGATAACAAGGAAATAATAAATATAACAATAAAAGAAAAAAATTCACATCATAACACGTACGCATGAAAAGTTTTAATAGATTAAAAATGTCCGTACGAATAAATAATTGTGGTAATTCTTCTTTTTTTTCGTATTAAGAAGAGAATAATAGTAGTAACAAACGAATGTCTAATAAATAAATAACAAGATGAAAACAAATTCTCATAGTACTAATGAAAAATTGTTGAGATTAATGAAGAAACGAGTGCATATTTTAAACCCATTGTACAGGACCAACACACGTAGAACAAATATAAAGATTTTTATCGATAAATGCTAAATTTTTTGAGTCATTTGCTAATGATGGTGTCACTTCGCTAAGCTCTTTTAACAATGTAAAAATACGCGTTTTTGTATCATCATCAAAGTCAGACAATGAAGGAGAGATGGACATAAATTGTTGAGTTTTATCTATTAATGATGATGCTGAATTATTAATATCGGAAGGCGATGATATATTATCAACAAGTTCAGGCCATTCTAAAAAAATGAAAAAAGTGAAAATTGTTTCAACGGCAACGATGGTTTTTCTCTCGTCGCGTCTATTTGTGTATTTTCTTCTGCTTCTCATGCTATACCGGAAATGGTAATGGGTCTAACTAACTAACTTCTTTGCTCATCGAGTGGCTCAGCATATCATGAAATGATAAATATTCTTCATAAATTATCCGATTGAAGACTGAACGATAACATCATTGCCAGGCGAGACTTTTACTATGGTATCTATCAATCATTTTATCTTTTTTTTTCAAATTTTAACTCTTATCTCTCCAGTGCAATGGTCACTGAAATCGGGTTCCTCCATTGCATCTGTGCCCAAAGCTACCGAGACAGTAAGCATTAGATAGCTTATCCAAGACTATCATGCGATCGCCGTTGCCGGGATTCGAACCCCGTATCTTTAAAGTACGTTGTCTGCTTACTAGGCGACTGATCCACGCTGCTCAATTTTATCTTTATTCCATCGAAAAGAACTTACCATTTTCATCAGTAGGAATAGTATTCAATGGAGGTAGAGATTGCGATAGTGTACTATTTTCATTAATAAAATGACCGACATTTTCTTCTGTTACAAGTTTACTTTGAACAACAGGTTGCATTTTTGTTTCTGCACTATTTAATGCTTTTAAAAATAGTTTTTCGAGTTCAGACAGTTTTTTCTAGAATAAAAATAAAATAAAATTGAGTAATATATGATTGATGATCGATGTTTGAAAACAAATACCTGAAGATTAAGTCTATCTTGTGTCAACTGTTTTATATAATCATCTTTTTGTTGATAACGTCGATTTAAGTGTTGGCGTTGTTGTTGATACAAATAAATATAATCACCTAAAATCAAAAATGTATAATGTGTCTAATCATTTTCTTAAAACTTTGATGTATTTTCTGTCTACCTATTGTGTCAGTTTCACTTTGAAGTTGAAGGATGAGATGTTCTAATTGTTGTGTACGATCTTGGAGATCAGCATTTTCTCTCATAGCACGATTAAATCGACCCTACATAAATGTTCATGAGAAAAAATATATTAGTAGCGTTCTAAGTGCTATATTTTAAACTAAAAATCTTACAATGATTTTCTGAATAAAAATCTGCTGTTGTTGTTCATCAACTCTTTCAATATCTTCCGTATGAGATGTAAGTGATGATAAAGACGCTGTATCGTTTAAATGAGTATCGTCTATATTCAACTGTTCTTCGCCTAACGGATGAGAAGGTTGTTGTTGTTGTTGTTGTTGCTCATAATATGAGAGACGTTTATGCAGCAAATTGTTTTCTTCAGACAAATGAACAATTTGCTAGAACAGTAAAACAAAAAAAAAATACAGGAGTCTTTTATTTAGTGGTTTTAAAAAATACCTGTGTAAGTTGATTTTCTTGATCATTACTTGACAAAGGCGTCGATGCTACCACATCTGAACTGGATGCCTGAGCTCCATGATCATGATTCTCACGTTCAGTCAACTATGAACAGGTAGACATATGCATAGCAAAAAGGATTAATTTACTCTAATCTCTGTCTCACCAATAAACGAACTTCATACAGTTCAATTTCTTTCTGACCAATACGTTCACCCAATTGTTTTGTCAAATGCTCCTCAGCTTGTATACGATTTGTTAAATTCATATTGTCATTTGACTATATTTTGAAACAAAAAAGATCAATTAATTACTTGAAACGCAACGTTAACGTTAGAAGCCGACAACGTTATCAGTGACTATTTCTAAATAACAGACAAAGGCGATAGCGGCCGAGTCCTGATATGGTTGTATTTGTACACATGTTGTAGGGTATGAGAAGTTTTGTTGTAGTCTAAAGATATCTCGTTCAAAATCGTTATTCTTCGTGAGTTTTGCATGCAGTCAACACCAAACCTCAATAATAACCGTTCTCCTATTTTCCGTCTATCGTCTGAAAGAATAGAATAAGACCTCGCATGACTACCAGTGGAAGTCCAGACTTTCCGTATTAGTCCACAGCATTCACGTCATTCGAGAAACTCGTATTTTTATTAGCGTTCAATAATTAATAAAAAAGATATTTAAAATTAATTATTAGACTCAGCACGTCACAGCATCCTTTTGAAATTTCTTTAGACATAGTGATGTTACAGAGGCATGGTCTGTCTATTTCTGAAAATTTCACGTTCTTCGATCATACTAAACGCAAATTGAAAGAGTCTTCATAGAATATTCCTCTATCGACTAATCAGAATTAGTTGAAAAACGTAAGTCATTTATTATTTCTCACCAGTTTAATAAATCCTTCTTGCAATTCTTCAAATTGTTCTTTTAACTGTTTGTTTTGTGCCATTGCTCTTGATAACGCCATTTTATCACTTTGCATTGTCTCTAACAATTTTCCGTGATCAACAACATTTTCACCTTTAATTTTGAGAAAAAAATATGATTACCATCTTTAAAATATACTGTAAATTGATTCACAACTTACTTGTTTTATCAATAGTAGATTCTAATTTTGCGATTTTCTCATCGCGCTCAGATAACAATCTATTAAACGAATATAACAAATAATTAAATGGTTTTAGAATAAAAATGTGTTTGTTCATACTTGTAAAGTTGTTCGCTATTGGCACGCATTGATTCATAACTTTGCATCCATTCATTTATAGTCACTGTCAGTTGATTGTTTTCTAGTTTTAACATTTCCAATTGTTTATTATGACCACTGTCGGTATTTTCAATTATTTGTGCTTGATTAGTTTGTAATTCATGAATTTTAATCTCTAAACGTATTAACAATATTATTTATATAACAATTAATATCAGAGGGCGATGATATATTATCAATAAGTTTAGACCATTCTAATTTCAATGGCAACGATAGTTTTTCTCTCGACTCGGGTAACTTCTTTGCTCATCAAGTGGCTCAGCATATCATGAAATGATAAATATTCTTCATAAATTATCCGATTGAAGACTGAACGATAACATCATTGTCAAGCGAGACTTTTACTATGGTATCTATCAATCATTTTTAACATTATCTCATCAAAAAGAACTTACCATTTTTCATCAGTAGGAATAGTATTCAATGATAGTATTAATGGTAATACTATATAGCTTACCGTATGATTGTTTCATTGCTTCATGTTCATTTTCAAGCACATTCTTCGATCGTGAAAGTTCATTGAGCTAAAGACATAGGAGAAAAAAATAGGAAAAAGTTTTTCTTAAAATTTCTTACTTGATCGGTAAGTTCTTGCATTTGACGTTGTAAATTATTACTATATTGTTGATATTGCATTTGCATTTGTTCCTTATCCGTTCTCAATTGATTAACAGTAGATAACAACTAAACAGATAGAAAAAAAATAACATTTTCTTTGACCTGAAGTTAGAACTAAGCACATACAGCATCTGCTTCATTTGTTTTCAATTGAATTGTATGTTTCAATTCTTCAGTTTGTTGTTCATATCTATCTGTAACTGTTGTATCATTGTTAGACTAAAAGAACAATAACGAAAGAAACAAAAATCACTTAAAGTCAGAACAAAATGAATTCTTATTTCCTTACTTGAAATTGGTGACTTCTTATTTCGGATTGTTCCAATTTTGTTTTCATTTGTAAAATGTCAGCGTTCATCTGTTCGATATTGTGCAGTTTTATACTTAATTTATTGTTCAACTCCTCACTATTCTGTTTCAAATCTTCAATTGCTTGACTGAAAAAAAAATGACGAATACAATGGATTGCTTAAGTACAACTTCCTTTCCACATACCTTTGCCGAATATTTTCTAGTTTTAATCGATCATTTTCCTTTTCATATTCTTTTGCAGCCTAGATAAATGAAAGAGAAACGATGAATAACAAAAACCATACATTTTTTTCTGTTCCCACCATCTCTCGCTTTTGTACATTTGATGTTGAATTTTGAACCGTTTTTTCTAATTCTTGTACTCTTTCTCTCGATGCCTTTAGTCGACCTTGTAATTCATCTAATTCACTTTGTTTTCGTTCTAATTGTTTAAATGATTGGGTCAGTTTTGCTTGAATATCAGTTTTTTCGGCAACGAGTATACCAATTGTTTGAATATGAATCTAAATTGAGAAATATAAATATTTTCAACAAATTATAAGAACATTAGTGGCTTACTTCTAATTGTTCTTTGAAATGATCCATCTCACGACGATATTTTTGCTCAATTTGTCCTCGTAATACTTCAGCATCTGGTTGCGTTTGACTGGAACGACCAGACTAAAAATTAGTAGCAAACAGTAAAAACTTGTTTGTTACAACAGTAAAAGTTTTTTTTTTTAAACTAATTATTTTCTCTTCATGAATATTAATTGCTAAATAGGAAATCATGCAGCTATAGTTTATGTGAAAAATCAACGCATTGATGTGTCTCAAGCATTAAATCGGTATAATTTATAATGCACACCAATTTAATGGCGATAAAAGTAATTCACTAGGTCTACATTCTCGGATAATAAAAACACACTAGCAATAAAAGTGATATTTTATCGAATGAATTATACACATTCAAAAAAAGTCAGTCGATTGTTAAAAAAGTCAGACTGAATCATCCTTATTTATTAAATTTACGAAAGCAAGAGCAAAATAAAAATATTAATTATTTATGAAAAAACTGTACTGATGTAAATTATTCTTACCACGCTACCGTGTTGTTGCTGATAGTATAGTTGATTTCTTGCCTGCTTTTGATTTTCGACCAGTACTGCATACTGACGATTTTTTTCCTGTTTTAAGACAACAAAAAATTGGGTATGCGTTTTTCAATACAACCGAAATTGTTAAATATTAACCCTATCATTTTACGAGCGCAGCCATGCAGCTTCAGACGGTAAATTAAAACTTTATCAGTTTACCTCTAATTCGGCAACCGGTGACTTCGATAATGAGCTATCGATACCATTTAAAATAGCCTGTTGCTAAAACGAGGCAAAAGATTAGTGTATATAAATAAACATTTGAGAGATATTACTTGATCGACAAATCCAGCTATGTCGTGTGAAAAATTATTTTTGTTTAATTGTGCAGAGAAACTAAAAAATTAAGTAATTTCGTTTAGTTTAGATCTTGACACGCTGCAATAACTCACGTTTCATGGTGATTTGGTGAGATGGTACCACCATTAGTTGTCTACAAAAAGAAATAGATAAGAAGAGGTAAAACCATTATAAATTAAGAACTTACTCCGTTCGTATACATAGCATTATTGTTTTGGACATAATTTGCATTGTCTAATGAAGAATTATAACCATTCACAACAGGTACATCGTGCGATGATATACCATCTTGCTGTAGTTGACGAAATTTTTTTAACTAACAATTGATAACAACAATGCTAAACTGTGGACAAGTATGCGAACCGCACAACATACCTTTTTTCGAGCATTTGCTAAATTTTCACGCTTATCTTCATCAACCATCTTCAAACTCCGTGTCATAGAGCTTCGTAGATGGCTTTTCCTTGAAATAAGTCAATTTTTCTGGCGGACAAACAGAATTTACCACGAACATTCACAAATTCGACATGACTTTTTAAACGTCTAGAAAAACAATCAGACACATAGTATATTAGACAAGGAGAACGACACACATCACGATACGCTATAATAACGCTGTGCGAACATTTGCCGTTGTAGGTTAACTTTAAACGCAGAACTGAAGAAAAATCAATTAACCAACCAAAATTGACAAATTACACAATGATATCATAATTGTTAGCACTTTGGTCGTGTCTTTACTAACTATTAACTTCCAGAATAGCTGCTACTGCCTAGATCCCTACTGCGTATTATTATGTTTCACTTTCAGTACAGAAAGCAAGAATCGGAGAAAAATAAGAAAAGTTTGATGTAGAATCGCTTCCGTTTGGGACAGTAGAAAGTAGTATGCATTTTTATCGCACTTGCTTCGATTCAGATAAGCTACACAACAATAACAAGGTTGAAAAGAATCTGATCATTCAGTTCTTTTGAGCTGAAAATACGTCGATACGACAGCAGCAAGTGGAGGAGGTAAGATCATCGGACATTTACGTTGACCCAATGACAATCGGTATAGTAGCCGCTTCCAGCATACCTTACATTTATACTAACGACTCATTTTCATTGTAGCTACTCAATCCAATTTCTTGATACCAAAATGTATTAATCTTTTATGCCAGAAATGGATATAATACTGCGAATCATGACAATTATAATAAAACTTGATTTGTTATATTATTTCCAACGCATTATTTGCAAGTCGTATTATCTCAAATTAATAACCGAAAGATACAACATAGACTTTTACGCTGAAACATGTGTTCATAAAGTGATATTCCATTTGCCTAAGTTACTAATGCACTTATGAATTTGTGACACACGCGGGGGTTTTCGACGAGGAAAAGTATTTTGATGGCGGATATTAGTTTGACCCTTCGAACAAAATTTTGCGCGTTACTTACTACTTAATGAAATACTGTAGCTTCAGTAAAATTGTAAAACTTTGATATGTCAACTCTGGATAAAAACATAAAAAGAACCATTAAATAAGAGTGAGAACTGAATTGAACAATTATTATTATGTTTCGTATTTTATTTCATAATTTCTTTACTTCGATCCATTTTGAAATTATGAAATCATGCTTTCGCTATAGCTCTGAATCATTTTTAGATATGTGGATAGAGAAGAGCTTCTCAGGTCGACGAAAACTGGCATTTAATAACTTATTCATAGGCTGTATATGATTGTATGATTAAAAAATTGATTTTTAAGATTTTTTTCTGATTTTCAATTGTTTCCTGCATCGATTTTGTTTTTTTCAAAACCAAAACTGAGATTATCAGTTACAGAAACAGAATTTCTGGTTCAAGAGTCTAAATAATTGTACATTGAAAGAGTCCGCTATGTACTTATCGAATGGTTTCATCACAAGATGAGATTAGTGAACTTCCGAACCCATCGAATCAAAATCTTCTTCCTCAATCCATACTGCAGTCTGTAACAAATGATAACAGTTTCATCAAAAAATATTTCAAAACAAAATTTTTTTTGATAAAATCTATGTTTTTAAAAAGGTTATTGGATTTTTTTGTTTTGCTTGTCCAAGAAAAAACTGCCTGATACTCTACTGTTTTTCTCCTGATTTCGAAAAAAATCTCCTGATCAACTGATTTTTTACGAAAAACTGGATTTGGGCACCCTACTATAGATCTTCCAAAGATCACAGAAATGTTGAACTTATTATCCACCTGTTGAACATCTTTTTTCTAAATGACAAAATCAAAAAATAAACGAAAACAAAAGAAAGAAGCTATCGATCGCTTTTTACAATGAAAAAAATTCACGTTCATTACAATAATCTTTTTGGTCGGGCATATCATCTAGAACAAGGATGAAGAAATGATTAAGTCTCTTCTTTTAAGTCGCAAGTCTACAGTATAGTTTGCTTTTGTTGTGTACACTTACTTAACTATTATATTATTAAAAATGGTGATATTGTGTGTCAACAAATGCCACAATATATGATACACATAGACATCAACATCATCAGGTGGTGGAGAGCTTACACTCTTTTATGAATTCGATCGAAAGATGATAATCAAGTCACAAGAAGATCTGCTGCAAAAAATAACTCAGATTGAACTAAAATATTATCATCAAAAGTCAGCTCTTGAAAACCAGATACAGATGAAAGAGAATTTGTTAACCGGTTTGCTCACATCATTATGTGGGAAGCTAATTAATAGAATGAATGTAGATGAAGAAAATCGTGCACTACAACAGTATGCACAATTGAATCAAGTACATCATCAGCAACAGCAGCAAAACCAACAACGAACAAATATGAGAAATTCAGGTGACTCAATAATAAATCCTCAAAATACACCTACACTACTAACAACAACTAACAACAGAAATCATCAAATCACCATTATCAAAACTAACAACAGGTACGCTACAAAATAAATTTACAATTGAGAAAGCTAATCATATATCAAAATCATGAATCCAGAAACGACTGAATTTGTACCATGCAATGAAAGAAGACTAAAACGCTTAGAAGTAATTTTATTGTATTTAAGTTCCTGGCATCAACAACAAATATGTGTGAATATACTGAACGAATGGAGCACCCCAACAGCTTCATTATCTCTAATTGGTGCCTGGAATGCCATAAATTAGTCCACCATGATGATTAATTCGAACATGCGTTTCTCTTTGCTAATTTACAATGTGAGCAATCTCTTGTTACATTTTGAAGATGTGGTTCATTACATCACGAAACACTATCTAACTGTTTTTGCGTTAAATGGTCTCAATTTTGATGATGATGCAAACTTTCGGTTAATCTCTTACTTTAAATCAAGGTACACGATTTATTTTCAAAAGGCTACTAATCATATTGGCGGAATAGCATTGGCAGCCTCGAAAGATGTACCTCATAAAATACTTAAGCAGTTCACCAGCACTCAAAATCTTATTGCAGCTGATATGTGCTTTCAAAAGAAGAAGTACACTTTTGCAACAATCTATTTGCCACTTAAAGAAAGATTTTCTAGTACACTCTTTGATTAGCTGATAAGATACAATAAAAACCTTCTAGTTTGTGGTGATTTAAATGCAAGACATACACAGTGGCATGATGAGTCGAAGAATCAAAAAGGAAACAGCTTTGCTAATTGGTTAAATGCAAAAAGCAGATTTAAAAATTTACCATAATTCCTCAATTACAGCTATAATCGATCTATGTATTGCACCGTACATATAGTCAACTGAAATGGCTAAATCAGATGAAACTCTTCGAGCGACTGATCATTATCTAGTATAGTGGAACATAACTTCATTAAAATTAAATCAACAAAATGATTTTAATGTGAGAAGAATAGATTGGTTACTAATACATTTTATTTTCGAATTGAAGCAACAGTTTTGGTACAACGTAGCTCAAATGATGAAGGATAAATCAACAGTTTATTATTCTATATGGAACATTTTTAGTGTCCTTGAACAAAAGATGGACTTCGACTCACACTACTAAACAATATCGTCCAACACACTATCTCTGTATTATGTGTACACATTAAAAAAACGTCGAAAAATTCTAAACTTGTACTCCAGGCAGACCTGGAACCGGTTGGGAACCGGCCGATATGAAATTGTTACCGGACCCGTCCGGCAGATAAACTGGCCGGTTGAAGTTAACTGGTAAAATACCGGCGAAAAACTGGCGAAGTTTTTTGAAAATCGATTTTCAGAAAGAATTTCCCTCAGAAATGAAATAGTTTGCGAGCACATGTGAGAGAACCTTCACAATAACGAGTCTATAACATTTAACCTTAAAATTAGTGAAATAATATCTGCCTTGAGCATCGTCTTATTTATTCTGACTGGAAAAGGCGTAAAGTTTTAGTTTTTTGACGAAAAACAGGTAAAAAGAGCAGATGTTTCAAAAGTTTCAGCCGGTGAAATACCGATCTGTACCGCCCCGGTTGACTTTTTCATCCGGTCCAGTCCTGTCCAGTACCGGTCCGGGCGGACAAGGACCGGTTCCAGCTCTGGTTCACCAAAAGCTGCACAAACTTCGTTTCCATTCATAGCTTAAAAAAGCTTAGGTGCTTTTCTACCTTTTGAAAATGTTGTGAAACTCTCTCAATTAGAAATTGTAAAAGAGAAGCGAAAGTGATCTGTAGCGAAGGTGTGTGGTATGACAGAAGTTGTGTTTTTCTATTTTAGCGAATTCTTATCTATTTCGTCGATAGTTCTAGCATTTTGTGCGACGCAAGAGAGTTTTGTGTCTGATGTTACGAAGAAGCGGAGAGTACAGCTTTGTGCTCATAAACACTAAGAAAAACAGCCTATCTATTGTATAACTGAACAATCTTTATTGGGCAACATCAGCGCATATATTTTAGAAAAATGGCTTAATTATGTTGAAAATCAGCGGTGTTTATCTGAAAATGTAAGTAATCAGTCCGGTTTTTAATTTCCTGGCTTTCTTCTGTGTATAAACTGACACTCGTCTCTTTCAAACAATGGAGCGATTAATTGCAAAAAAAGGAATAAAAGTGTTTGACCGACATTGAATAATCTTTTTTTTAAAAAGATTTTAAGTATTTCGTAACAACTCTTAAGTTAACTATAAAGTGTCTTCAAAAGTTCGTCACTTTTATTAAGAATTTTAAGATTAATTTCAGCAAAGGATCACACCCAAATCAAATTTAAAGCGAATTATCAAAAAACACAAAGACCATTTCATTCACGAATGTCCTCCACATTCATACACTGCCAACGTTCCATCACTTTTTCTCTGCGTATCACAGTCACCACCCCTACCTTCACAGTCACTATACGTTCGCTCAATGTCATACGTATCCCAGTCCTTATTAATCAATGACAAGTCGGGCGGATAAACGTAGAGCAAGTGTTCGCCATTACCGTGGTAAAATTTCCCATCTTCTGCACTAAAGCCACCGTAGCCCTGCCACGCTCGGCGCCGCCGACTATATACTTAGTATACAAAAGTTGTAGAGAATTCTTCGGGTTTCCAGAATCTCTATTTACTTTTGTTTGTATGTTTAGATCAAAGAAAACGAGCCAAAATATGCTCCGTGACGGAATGACATCGATTTTTGTGCTCCCAATTCAGAAGGTTTCGCCAACCTTTTTTCGATAGTTAAAACTCACAATAAATCGTAATCTAATCGGCACATATACTATCAACTTTTTTGCAAAAGATAAACTCAGACAGAACGTCAAAGCTTTTTGTTAAAGCTTCTAAAACTCTCTTGGAAAAAGAGTCCTAGAATAATTTCATCAAAAAATAACGAAAAATGGTAAGAAGTTCTTGCTTTTTTTAAATATTTTCCCCGATGTTCAAACTTCAAAATAGTACGTTTTGTAGAGAATTCAGTTCTCTATTCGGCAGCATAGTTTTTAGATTTTTAGAACGAAATAAGTAGATCAGGAAATTCAAATTAAAAGTCTCAAAAAAATAAATTAAAATTTTAAAATTTAAAATCAAAGTTTCGTTAATAATAAAGCTGATATTCGTGATCAGCATAAAAAGCTGCGTCTGATGATCACTATTAAAAAAATTCCAGTGCGTACGGGTGCCAATCGGGACTCGTTCGGCACTGGCTGACATCGGTGCGCACCCGTGTCCACCAAGTGCCGATTGGTATCCGTACGCACCGGTGCCCATATATCCGAAAGAGTGCCGCACTGGTAAAAATCAGTGCAGGCAAATCAGGCATTGGCTCGGCACTTCTCTTATGAGAAGAAAAAGATGAGGTCAGGAAGACATTCGAAATATTAGAAGTAGACTGGGGTGTTAATATAGACAGAAATTGACAAAACAAAACTTCGGCACTGGTGTGCACCAGCGCGAGATTTTTACATTCTTTCTAGCACCGATGCGCATCGGTGACCAGAAAAAAAATTATTCGGCACCGGTGCGCACCCGTGCACAACCAGTGCCGATAAGATATTTTTTATAGATATTTTTCCAAACGATTGGAAAACTACAGTACTCAATCAAATTCACGTAGATATCGCTTTACACTCATTTTTTTTTACTTCATGCATATCTAGAAACACCTTAATTATGCAAAAAACCTTTATTTTTCTTAAAAGAACTTTATATTTGTTCTGGAAACTTTTTAAAAGATTCTATTTTCTTCTCATCGGTAGCCATTTTTGTGCCTTTTGCACATTTTTCTTATTTGGAGCTAAAAGCTTTTCATATTTTCTTTTAGCTTCTGAAAGGAGCTAAAATTAATTATTACTAAATTAATTTTAAATATAAATTTAATAAATTAATTATTAATTATTTCATTTTAGCTTTTGAAAGGAGTTAAAATTAAACTATTTAACCACTAAACTATTTGGAGCTAAAAGGAAACAACGATTAGATGCCTGAATTGTAAAAATGGACTTTTTTTTTGACACTATTGATATGATACGCTCGGTATTTTATGGAAAATATTATAAGCCCTAGCGAATTTATTTGTATAGATGGCGCGCTTATCCGAAGTAACTATTATGGATTTTTCCGATATAAGAAACTGCCCGCAAACTGTTGACGTGTCACTCTAAAAAAATGAAAGTTAAAAGAATAATTTTGCAAAAAGAAATTTATCAAAATATTCTGGATAAAGAGAAATACATTTGAATAATGGTAACTTCATTTTTATATATACATGTAATATAAAAATAAAAGAACCTGAACATATGTATAATACAGGAAGCAAAAATCGTTCTTATGTACAAAAACTGTTAGTTCTAAGAACAATGTCTGGTGTCAGAGAGAAAAGTAAACAATTTCTGGTATATCGGACATTACTTCTCTTTTCACTGTTTCGTCCAATTCCAGTTTGTTAATCACAGACAAAATTAGATACAAAAAAAATGATAGTTGTTGCTTTGATTCTGACTAATCTGCTATAGTAGTCATCAATTATTCATCATTAATTATGGATCTTCTGTTGCTTGTTGCTGTATACAATATTTGCGCTAATAATATACTTTCTTTCGCTTAAATTCAATGATAGTAGTCAACTATTCCTCTACAAATGTCCAGTTATTGTCATTACTGCACATTTTTTGTTGTTTGAGTAAAATTGAGCTTATTATGATCCCGTTTAAGTTACTTTTTCTTTTTTTAATGCTCACAGCCAAGTAACTTGTATAAAATTTAGTTACTTTTCACAACGATTACTGACGTTTGGGGTCTCGTCCGTTTAAAAAAAGTAGAACATACAAATAGAGAGAAAACAATGGAATCGAACATAAAAAGCAATCGAACTTTACGTGCCTAGCTATAGTACACTATCACAATCAAAATCAAATAAAAGTAGACACTTCATTTTTTTTACCGAAACAAGGGGAGAAAGACACATTTTTAACACCTGGATCTGAAGTTCTTTGATCTCATTGACATAAAGAAGAGAAACAAGCGTATACACACTTTACTAAACATTTTAGAAATTATTTTCCTAAACATATGTATCATAAGTGTTGAGTAGAGGGATAAGGCTGATTAGTATTATAACACCATTCGACACATTTTATAAACACAGAATTGCGCGATACAAAACGTCTAGAATAGCCTAAGTAGCTTACCGAATGTTCGCTATTTAATAAGAACATCTATCAATCTATATTTAAAATTGTTTACTCAAGATGAAAATTACTATCCCTAAATTCAAAACGAGTATGCATACATTCATTCCATTAATCCGGCCGTCAATTGTCACTCTGTATTATCTGTCAGGCAAATCATCGTTCAATGGGAAAAGTGCACAATATTGTCGAACTGGATACTAATGTTTGTTTTGTTATTTTATTATTACTTTTCTTAAAAATCATTTCAATTCATCTTTGTTTATAGATGGTATTAAGAAATACGTAGTTAAAATTAAATATGTCTTCAAACGCTATTTCTCACCAACAGCATCATTCATCCCAACAACAACAGGGAAATAACGCAAACACAAATTCTACTAATTCAACTAACAATAATCCATCCCCATCATGTGATGATCGGACATGTTCAAATGCTAAATGTGCCGTATGTTTGTAAGTTTTTTTGTTCATATTATTGAATCACTATTATTTAACTGATAGTTGTTTATATAATTTAGGCACTGTTCACAACAATATTGCTTTATCCATTTTCTTAAACATAATGAACAATTATCGTTGAATGCTGAAAATTTTACATTATCCATTGATCATTTAGATGATCAATTAAAGAATATGTCCATTGATGAATCATTGCGAAAAACTATTCATCTTCTTGATCAATGGCGAAAAAATTTAATTAAAACAATCGACTATGTTTATCAAGAAAAATTGACATCGATTAAACAAAATTATATTCGTTTAACGAATTATTTAAAACAATTTCAGTTTGAACAAACATCACATATTCAAACAGTACGTCATGATTTAGAACAAATGAAATTTATTCGTCATACATATGATAGAGAGATGAGAAAAATTCAAGCAACTATTGAACAGATACGACAAAACTGTAAAGAATTAAAATATGATTTGGTATTAAAAGAACGTCAAATACCAAATATTTATGATTCAATTGAATGCGAAATTATATGGAAAAGACGTTCAGCTAATAGTAATAATAATAATACAAATAGTAACAACGAAGAAAATATGGATGATGAAAATGGAAATAGTGAAGGACTAGGTAAGCGATAGATGTACAGTTAGGAACGATCATTTTTTCATATTTCATGAAACTGTCTGTTTCTAGTATCTGGCAATGAGGAAGAAGAAGAGGAAGAATACTTTATGAATTCAAATGATGGTGGTATACATGGAATTAGTCCATCAGCGCGAATCAAAACTGAATTATTAGATTCTGATTGTGTTGAACTTGATAATGATATACTTGATAGTCGGTATAATAATACCACTACGACAACAACCACCTCTTCATCATCACCAAGTCCAACATCGTATGAAAATTGTTTATTATCATTTCTTATTGATCCTCCCCATATGAATATTAACGATAGTTCAACACCCTTACCAATGATTCCTGGCACTCTAGCTCAGCCACCAACAGCATCATCGTATGATAATAAAATAACTCGTGGCGGCGGTGACTCTTATCATGATTCTGGTTATCATCGACCAATCCCACATCATCACCATTCAATTCAATCATCATTACCATCATTATTACCGATTAAAAAGCAACAACAACAACAACCACAACCAAGAATTAAACATTCAACAACAGCAAATGGAAATTCATTACAATTACAAAATAAAAAACGTCGTATTTGTATGAGTTGTGGAAAATTTTAGTAAGTAACATTAAATGTATGTAATGTCATTTTAAAATAACTCTTTTTGTATAGTCATCCAAGTAGTTTGCAACGACATTTTCGTCAATGTAAACGTTTGTCAATGATGAGACAACAACAACAACAACGAGAAGAAGATGTACATAAAACACCGTCATCAGCATTAGCTAATACTCAAACAACGTATAAAGCTATTGTTGTTCCACCAACAACTGTTCCAGACATAGCATCGTCATCGACAACAACAACGACACCTCCGTCAACAACGCCAACGAATAATAATCAGAACACATTTTCAACATATGAAATTTCAAGCAATAACCAATAATAATAATAACTATCCAAGAAAGTAGACTATTTTTTTTAGAGTACTATTTTTTTCTTCTCCTACTTGATTGAGATCTGCTTCTAACCTGAAAAATTGTTTGGAAATGTTAGTCAAATTTTTGAACGTAAGTGGAAGTATGAATCGATGTTTGTCGAAAGAAGATTTTTGTGTTGAGATACCATGTGTTTATGTGCATGTTTACCGTTTTATGTTTGCCATCATTTCCATCAATTTTCTTGTTGGTCTGCTCGTTACGACAGTGACCATATATGAGAATGTAAAAGTTCCTCTCTTTTTTTCTTTTTATTTTTTTCGTTACATATATTCTCCAACGTTGGCTAGCTTTTTGAAGAAAAAATTATTTACTTTTTATCTATTAGCATTCACGATTTCATGCTTCATGTTTATAAGTGTGTTTTTTCTTGATACACTACATAAATTCATTTCAGGAACATTTTTTTTGTTTGCTTTTTGTAATTATTTTTGATCACAAGAGTCTCATGCATCTGTGTATATATATATATATAAATCGATGTGCAATGAACAAAACAAAATATGTAATTTGAACAATTTGAACGAGAGAGAGAGAGAGAAAGGAAACCCGTATTTTGTTGTTGTTTTTTTTTTTTCGTTTTTCTAACCATTTATTTATGTAGCTTAGAATGAACAGAGCACACTTTCTATATCAAGTTTTCTTTGTTTATTCCTAGTCAGTGTAACAAACTCTACTGTCGATGTTGTAAAGGAGAGAATGTGTTGTATATTTTTGTCGATTCTTTCTTTTCGATAACGAATTTGTCATGTGTTTAATGATTCTCTATTGTAGTTGTTGTTCTTGTTGTTGTATAACTCACGCACTCTCAGTTTCGCGCAATGTTTTTTTTTTCTTTTTTTGTTTTCTTGTAATATATGTACGCACATGTATTAAAAGATAATGAAAACTAAAGCAAAAAGAAACATCAAACAAAAAAACAGACGTCATCATATTTACTAGTAACATAAGAACTTAACATGTTGACAACTTGATTAAATTATGATGCATTTCTTCAAGGGAGAAAGAGACTTAAATTCTGACAATGATTTAGACTTTTATTTTCAATTAATTCAGTTTAACACAAGATCTTTTTGTCATATATTGTGTACAGTTTTCATCGTCTAATTGTGGCTAATCTATTGGAACTATTGTCAATATGGCAGTTTTTTCTTATCTTTTAGATGAATTCTATTCTTATGTGACAAAACATTAACAAATGGCTTCTTGCATGTACCGTGTCGGTGGTGAGTATGCGTTTTTTTATGAAGTGGATCGGTGGTTGGTATGCACACCCTGTATTTGCTTTTAGATTACGTTTATTTTGAAGCCAATCCTAGTGATCCGTATCAAATACGTCGGATTGAAGAATTGAACAAAGTATATGAAACTTTTGCATTGTTCTTTTTTGCTCAAATATTGTATTATTCATTTATTTAGACTCCAAATGGTAATGTCGAGGCACGTGTTGCATGTTTTTATCGTCGTCGTGATATATCAGCTTATTTGGTTAATCAAGCTGATCGACAACAAATCACAGGTAATGCATAAAAATTTGGCGTTTTTGTCGTATTCAAAATGTTATTTATTTATAGCTCCGTGGGACGATGACGATGATGTATTAAATGAAGGTGGTACAACAACTACAGCCCCAAGTGCAACAGCAACAACAACAACAACACAACCTGAACTGAATGATACACAAAAACATCAATTACGTCATCGTGAATTATTTTTAACACGTCAAATCGAAACACTTTTAGCAACAAATATAAGAGGAAAATGTCTTGTAACATTACATAATGAAACAGAATCATTTTTATCTTATATCAGTACTGATGTATGTGTCTGATAAAATAATCTCGTGTAGTAGTTCTAGCAATTTCTTTTATTCAGGATTTATTTTTTTATCAACTCGTATATGATCCACAACAAAAAACATTGTTAGCTGATCGAGGAGAAATTCGTGTTGGTGGAAAATATCAAGCAGATGTTCCTGCGCAGATGTCAATTGATGGTATTGATATTATACCAGTTTATTTTCTTCGCATTAAGGATTTAATAATTTATTTTTGTCTTTTTCAAAGATAAACCGGATGCCATTCGTGAAGATCTTATATGGAATACATCAACTGGTCTAACAGAGAAGCAAATTGAACAATTCCTGATTGTTGCAAGGTAGAAAACCTTTTTTTTGTTGTATACATTTTATTTTTAATTAAGTATTCTTTCTTTCAGATCTATTGGAACATTTGCCCGCGCATTAGACTGTCCAACAGCATTAAAACATCCAAGTAAGGCTCTTTTTATGACATGAAAAATAAACCTGGAAGACACCGTTACTACTATCGTATACAAAATTATTTTTAGGTCTTCATATGAGTGCTGCATCTGCATCAAGAGACGCAACGTTGGTATGTTATGTTTATTTATGATTTTAATCAGTACGATAACGTCAAGACATTGTTCTGTTTAGTTTTTTGCCATGGATACATTGCACAAACATAATTATGATTTAGCATTGGCTACATGTAGTCTTGTACCGTCAACAGGACCTATCTTAGTCAAAGATCAAATGGAGGACTGGTCGGCAGCTGAAGCCAATACATTTGAAGATGCCATTGAGAAATGTGGCAAAGACTTTGATGCAATTCAACGAGAATTTGTAAGAATTGCCAATAACTCTATCTTATTACGTTTTTGATTTGAACTTTTCTTGTAGTTGCCATGGAAAAGTCTTAAAGGTATAATTGAATATTACTATATGTGGAAAACAACCGATCGTTATGTACAACAAAGGCGTTTAAAATCAGTTGAACAAGAAAATAAACTTAAACAAGTGTTTATTCCAAATTAGTAAGTCAAATTAAATAAATATAGCTTTAATATTTAATCTTTATGTTTTCATATTTTAGTAATAAAGCACATCAGTCTCTACTGCCACAACGACCTCAAAATGATGGAAAACCGTGTGAATCTTGTGGATGTGAGTTATCTGATTATAACATCTAAGATTTTACGATTTGCTCATATCTGTACTCTATTATCTGCACCGTTTTTTTGAGAAAATAAAAAGATATATTTTGTTGTTCATTGCATAGTTAATGTTTTATTTTTAAGCCTCATCATCTCCGACAAGTCAATGGTATCAATACGGTCCTGCTCAAACGCATACGAGACTTTGTTCTGATTGTTGGACATATTATAAGAAAATGGGAGGTCTCAAATATCCAAGAAAAAATGGTATTTACTATTTAACTGTTCATTTTTTTGATTTTATGTCTGATATATTTTTAGACAGTGAACGTCCTGGACCAGATCGTCGTTATCAAGGTAAGGAATACTGTTTGTTTATCATGCGATGAATATACATTTCATTTATCCTTCTTTTGTAGAACGTGCAGCTTCAATCAATAAATATCAATCCCATCGTTGTACAGTAACTGGTTGTGGAAAAGTAAGAATAGACATAATTGAGAAAATACTGCTAAATACATTTACTAATAGGAATGTAAAACAAAGTCACAATTACAGCGTCATTGTTCATTAACACACGGCCTTATGTATCGTGCTAGTAGTCCTCGACCTGTATTACGTAGTCGAAATACATTTTGTTTATTTACTACACCGATAACTCGTGCAGCACGTACGATTATGAATGTAAGACGTTTAGCACGACATATATCGTTACCGGTTGATATTGGTTCTATTAGAAAAGATTGTAAGTTGTCAAATAAAATATATTATAATTATAAAAAATAAATATCTTATGTTTGCTTAAAAAATTTGTTCTCTAGGGGAAAAAGAACCGCGTGATATTCGACAAGTTTATAATCGTTTACGTGAAGGTTATAAAGAACAAAAACAGCGACTATTAAAAGTTAGATTAGATGACATATTAAATAAAAATAATTTGGATATTGTCAAAATAACATTTGACGATATAACACAACCGTATACAAATGAACCTGTTTATAAACCAGAGCAATTACGTTATCCTGTACCGGAAGAAGACTTTTTTGCCAAATTTTCTAATACTAATACGAGTATAATGAAAAAACGTCCATACGAATCAACAGATTCTAGTAATGATGATATAATTAAAATATAGAAATATGACACAGTAAAAAATGTTTTTTTTGTATTTTAGGTCCATCACCAAAACGTACATTGATTAGTCGACAAAATTTAATCAAATCAAAATCGCCGGTAAGCTAAACATTCAAACTAAATTTTTTTGTTTTCATAATTTTATAATACTTCACTGTCATTCAATCTTTAACAATCGATTTGGGGTTTTTGTTTAGAGTAACGTTAAACTATCTCGTTCTCGAGCATATACTGTTTCATTCATCGATGCTCCCGACGGTATTTATTTACGAGTTACAAAAGAGATAAAGTAAGCGTAGTTTTGTCTCTTTCTTTAACACAATATTGTGCTGTTTTTCTTTTCTTCTTTCAGACGTTTACGGAAAGACATTCCACAAAAAGAAATTCGTCGTATAGCACGTGCACCATGGAAAAAATTGAATACAAATTTTGTTTCATATGCTGATGATGATATTGTTGTTCTTGATTAATCTTTATTGCTCACTTTTGTTTCGTTTTTTCCTATTCGTATGCGTATATATATATATATAGATATATATATATAAATCCAGAGTTTTTATGCTCGCGGTTTAGCGAGATTCTTTTGCCTTCTTAAAAACTCATGGCACGATGTTAATTTTCCTTTTTTTGCTTCAGGTTTATTCATATACCAAAACACTGTTTTTTCTGTTGTCATTTATTAATTTTTCTTGTTTCGCGATGGTAGAGTAAGTTGATATTTTTTCTTGTATATGTTTAGATCGGAAAAAAATCATGTCAGTCTTACATAGTCTTCTTTTTTTAATGTTCTGTTAATGGAATATACACTAATAAAAAATGTAAACAAATTCTTCTAAAAAAGAATTTAAATCTTCTATAAGATAATATTATCTTATGCATTGCTGATTAAAATAGAAGAATATTAAAAATATTACATCTTTCAAGTACTTCTACCTGCCGATGCTATAGAAACAGAAGATTTTAGTTCAAACATAAGTTCTCTTTTGTATTATAAGTCCGTTACTTTATTTCTAAATTTCTGACATCTGCTATAAGTTGATTTATTGCTAGCTCCATTAATAGGTTATTTTTCGTCGCATAAATCTTATAGTATTCTACATCAATGCAACTGATATCATCTACGATCTGTTTAAAAAAAAAATGATAAATGATGATATGTACCGCGTTCTAGATATTTTTTTACGATAAAACAACGGACACTGAATACATTTTCAACTCAGTTTGAGATACGTGAGAAATGAGTATGTTAATGTAGAATTGAAATTCTCACTAGTGCATATTAAAATGTAGATGCCTGCTTATGTGATTAAGCATAGATTTCTATCAAGTGATGTCTTAGAGAGAAAATTTTAGTTTATAAAGTATGAGAACAACCTTATAGTATTCGAAGGGCATTTCTAAACCTCAGAGCGAGTGAGAAAATAACACTGCGAGAGAATCGTTTTATCAGATATTCAAATCATTACTCTTTGCAGATTGCTTTCCCACTCACCCTCAGGTTTAGCAATACCCTTCGAATATTATAAGTTTGTTCTCATACTTTATTAACTAAAATTTTCTCTCTAAAACACTATTTAATGAAAATCTAAGTTTCATCACATAGGCAGGCATCTACATTTTAATCTGTTCTAGTGGAAATTGAAATAAAAATTTCAACTAGTGGAGTCATTCAACGCCCACCGAATTTCAGTTTCCACTAAAACAGATATATTTGAAAATATTGCTCTGCAGAGAGTAGCGTTCTTCTATAAGGTTGACTGAAAAAAGTGAATACATCTTATATAAAACGAGAGTATGAGCTATAGTCAATTATTTGAAGTAGAGAAAGAATGTTTCGAGTAAGTAGAAAATCAAAGAGAACTTTTTTTTCTCCGAAGTGTATTGTAATTTATGAAAAACAATTTTAATGCGTACACGAGTTTCGAAAGAAGTCGGCAGAGCTAAGGATATCACAATTACTTTTACTTTCGTTACCTTGTAACAACTGAAAGTAACTCGAAAATAACTCAGAGTAACGGTAACTGTGACATCTCTGTATAGAGCTCTAGCTTGTTATTGAGATCAGATAAATATTTCAGTCGTTTTTCTAGGCTGCTGTAGTAAACCGGAATGTGTTTCCATTAAAAGATTAAAAATATGTTAAATCTAGCTAGCCGAAAAATTGTTTTAGTTTTTTGTTTGCAATCGGTGACTTCGTATCTCTATTCTAGTCTATTGCAATAAACTGTAATCTAATCAAACTTCTCATACTCAAACTTCTAGTAATTCTTGTGTTATTGTTTTGTTTTATAATGGTTTTTACAGATATGCGCGATATACTTTCATATTTCAAAATAACATCAAATTGAATTTTTTATTGGATATAGTCGTTCAAGAAAGAGCCTATACGATCCTATATAAAATGTTCATTGAAGATCTTGACTTCTGATCCTTGTACTCAAGGCGATTTAAAATCTTATAATCACACTCGTTGTACTCGAGACCTTGAAATAAAAATTTGTACGTTTTGTTATCAAGGTTATGAACCAAGATTTTAATGAACTTATTCAATAAAATTGTTGTTATTGTTGTTGCTTATGGAGTATTATCATTGAGAAAGGCGGTCCACTTTCATCCGAAAGCAAAGACGGAAATGTTTCTACGTTTTATTACATGGGATAGTTAAAAAAACTAATCAACTCATCAAACTTCATCGACTCATGGACAAAACAAGAAGCGTTGTATCTCAATCTGGAGATTGGAAACTAATAATGATCCTTCTGATGTCCGTCGTACTGCAAGTTAAAATTATTAACTGTACGTGTTGTTAATTTAAGAACCGGCACATATGATAGCAACCGGACCTAGGACTGATACTACGGAATCCAAAATACTTTAGTTAAATGAAAAAGTGTAAAAAAATAAAATTTTACAATTGATTTGCAAAAGAAAACCAACATTTACGAAGCGTATTGTCGAGACGGTCGGTTAATCACAAAAAACCAATAACAGAATTTCGCTGTCAATGCGAAATCTTTTATGGAATGGAACGGAACGTAGTACCGTTCTACTTTTGTATTTTTGAAAACTTTTTAAAAAATTCTAAGCTTCGTCTTTTTTCCTTTTTTTTTTGTTTGAAAAGTGTCGTTGCAATACCAGTCAATAAGAGAAAACTCATATATATATATAAAACGAGAATGAACGTTTAAAAAATTAGTTGAGAATAAAATTCTACCCTGCTGTCTGCTGTATGATTTTTTGACATAATATTAAAACAAAAAAGCGACGAGAATACTGTTTACTTTCGCGAAATATGTTGTATTATTAAACATGGCTTTGTGTTTTTCATCATTTTTGATCATTTGTAATTAAATGTACGTATTTTAGATTATTTGCTATTTACATTCTACTTCGTATTATACTATTTTGTTCTTTCTTTGTTTCGATATAAAATGACAAAATAAAAAATAATCAAACCACCACTACCATCAGGGCTATTATTGTTTCTTTCTTTTTCTATAAAGGTATATATATATATATGTATGTGTACTCAAGCTAGTCGATTTGTTTTGAATGTACACACGTATTGACGATTATTATAATCTTGGTACTGTTTCATTGAAATCGTGTGATCTGTTATCTGGAGAAATATCATCATCCACAGCATCTTCTTCTTCTTCTTCTTCATCTTGTCCTTCTCCCTCAAATGGCCATTGGTATCTAGTCCAAGAAAACTATGTCAAAGAAGTCTACCCAACCGATGCCGTTACAATAGGCAGTGATCAGCAATGTGAAATCGTTCTGTCGGTAAGAGGATGAAAAAAAGAAAAACAAAAGAAAACATTAATCTTTTTGTTAAAATCATGTTATTTATCTGCATAGAGAAAAAAGAGTCCGCAATGATTTTTTTAAAACGTATACACTTACACAGGTGTACATGTTTTTCTACAAAAAAAAAAAGTAAAAATACATATGCGGCAAACATTGTCTTGTTTTTATTTCAGTCACAATCGGCTGATCCACATCATGCTCGAATACATACAGGTCACGGTAATAGAAATATGAAAATAAAAGATCTGGGTGCAGTGAATGGAGTAAGTATAAAAGAGAAAAACTAAACTCTATACTTATTAAAAGTAGAAGAATCATTTAGATAATTTTTTTCGTATAGATAGATATAGTTTGTAATGATATTTTTTTCTCACCATAGACTTTTGTCAATAATGTTCGAATTGAATCTCAAAGTGAAATTGATCTCAAGCATAACGATAAAATATCGTTTGGCTCAGGTATGTCTTTAAGAGATTGAAGAACTAGTTTAAAAAAACATAAGAAAAAACATTTCTTTTATAGATCCTTTGATTTTAACTGTTAAACAAGGCATCAATGATTACAGTTTAAACGAGGTATAGAATTGTTAATAATCACTTAAATAAAAATTGATCCTGTATGTTATTTTCAGAAGTCAGTTCAATCAGACGTGTTACATTCCCCGTTTGAATTAGGTTTGTATATTCTTGATTATGGTTTTGTGTGTGTGTGTGTGTGATTATACATTATTTGTATGTCTCTATGATAGATGCTCCGTTATATGAACAATCAACAATGACAGAACAGCGACAATCAAATAGTTTTCTTATCGATCGAATGTCAAATGATGAAAATCATGATAATAATCATGATAATAATAACACTAATTCAACGTCGTACACCACTGTCACAAGTAATTCACAACCATTGATCGATTCTAATGAAGATGCATCGAGTGATGCCGGTACTTATATTATCGATATTGAACATCGTGATTTGGATGTTGAAGATAACGATGATGATGAAGAAACGGAACCTCAACAGCAGGAACTAGAACAGGAGCCTGAAAGTCCATTATCATTTAAACGTTATACATCGAATAAACGACATGGAACATATAATATACATGCTGCCTCTCCACCATCTCCAGAAAAAAATCCACCGATATTACCTGCAATGTCAACAATTTATGCACGACCTGTTGTTGGACCTGATCACAACACTACAGAATTACCATCTTCTACTTCACCTTTATCAAAAATACGTCTCGAACCAGAAGGTGATGATCAACCAACAGTACAAGAATCGACTACTCAACGTGCTGTGGTCTATGCTCGGCGAAGGCCACAAACATTGACCACAGATCTGAACAGTAGTACTGAAAATGTTAAAAATAATGATAGTTCTTCCATAACTACTCAAACGATAAAACCTGCCGAGTCTTTTGGTAAATACTTCGTCATTAAGTTGAGACATGTATTTATAGTCATTTTCTTCATAAATTTTAGTTATATCTCCCACAATCGAGAAAAAACCCTCGAACAATTTTGGTGAAAAAAATTTTAATGTTACAAGAAAAATGCATCGAATTTATTCGGCTGGAGCAGCTGATACTTTGTAAGTCGTCACACTTATAGATTGTAAATAGATACTGTCAAATTCTCATCGTTTTTCTTTCTGTTTTAGAATGAATTTCGAAGCTCCGAAAGCTGAACCAGCCGCTCTATCGTCTTCAACGCTCACAAATATGATTACCACATATCAAAATGAATTAGACAATATGTCGACCACAAATAGTTCTTTTCCATCAACGACAACAACGGCAACCGGTTTATCAATGACGAAGCAAGGTGATACAGAGAAAGGTTTTACTAGTGTACAACGACTAACAAAAACATCATCGGCAGCAGATGTTTCCAACGATAGACTCCGAATTCAAAGTGTTCGATCTCCACCAGTATCTAAAAAACCACTTTCAAATACTGATACGTCTTCATCTTCGTCAAAATTACTTGCTGCTGTTCCCATTAGTAATTCACCACGTTCGAATATAGCCAATCAAGAAACATTTCAACGTAATAATGCTATAAGAAAAACAATGCCTAATCGGAGTTCAAAAAATTCAACAAAGCCATTTGATATTATGTCTAGTTCATTAATTGGTGAATTACCATCATCACATACATCATCACGTTCAAATTCAGTTGCTGATGATTTAGAAGCTCCTCCATCGCTATCAAAAGTATCAATGAATAAATCATTTGCATTAAGAAGGCAACGTTCAAATCTAACTACTACAAATAAAGTACAACAACAGCAACCACCATCTACAGTAAAACCTGTTCAACGTCCGACATTCACTAAATCTCAGACACCTTCTATTCAAATTTGTAAACCAGCTGATAGTATACATTTGGATCAATCCTCAAGTATGAATAGTCAAACAAATCGAGCTGTTGAATTACGCAAAGGTTGGTACTTTGGATATTTTTTAAGAGCTTGTTTATACTAGTCGATGATATAGCATTTATACAGTGAACTTTTTAAAACAACTTTTGAACTCTGTTTGCTTTTCAGCTTCTGCTCGTGCAAAAATGGAAGAATTATCACATCGAACGAAACAACAACAACAACCACAAGATCAAACAACAATTAATCAGCTAATGACAACTTCATTATATAGCGTTAAACCTAGTACAAGTTTAAATAAGAAAAATGATGTCCGTTCAACTTATCGTTCGGTAACAAAACGACCGCTTAGCATACCAACACATCGTTCATCATCAGCCAGTCCAAAAGCGTTGAGTCATGATTCAACAGCAACCATAAATAGAGCTTCGCAACAGCAGCAGCAACAACCGGCAAAATCTCGCCTATCAAAACTTCCGACAAAGTCATCATCAATGGATCAGCAAAACACTAGTAAAATGAACACCGCAGCAAACGAAAATGAACCAGTAAGCCCTGTTTGCCGACCGAACATATTCTTCATTAAATTCATCGTTGTTCTCATTCAATAGGAACGTTGTGAAACATTACGTGACGACGGTCAACGGCTTGCAATCAAACTAATTCAGTTATCATCTGGAATATTGGAAAAGCTAAAGTAAACAGTTACTACTATCCATTTCAAAAAAAGAATGGACTCGGCTACTTTTTGAATAACTCAGCAACGTTACTAGCTAGCGAGTTCGGATCTTCGCCGTCGAATTGACGACATCTGGGCGCATCCAGGTAAGTAGTAAACATCGGGCTTGCCAAGACCTTTGAGGGATTTCCAGAAGGTCTCTGAAGCCCCCCCCCCGGGCGGGGGGTAGCATTTTTGTTTGTGGTGGGGGGGCCCCGATCTCGGCAAGTTGACCTTGGATCGCCGTAAAATGGATCAAGATAGGGATAATCGATATTGCTGAGTCGTGTGGTGATGTTTATTTTTGGTTTCAAACCGATCTAAAGTCACCGTAACATGATTTTCAGACTATCCGCACTATGCGCAACATAGCGGCAGAATGCTGGAATTAGAAAATCTTGATATAGTGACTTTAGGTCTGTCTGAAACCAAAAATAAACATCACCACACGACTCAGCAATGTCGATTACCCCTATCTTGACCCATTTTACGGCGATCCAAGGTCAACTTGCCGAAATCAGGGCTGTCGGCAAAATGCTTATAACTCCTGAACGGAACAAGCTAGCGAGCTCAGCTTTTGCGTAGTTTTGTAGAGGACAGTATGAAAAATCGTACCCACTCAGAAGAATCAAAATTTCTAACTCACGCGAGGGGGGGGGGGCTTCAGAGACCTTCTGGAAATCCCTCAAAGGTCTTGGCAAGCCCGATGTTTACTACTTACCTGGATGCGCCCAGATGTCGTCAATTCACGGCGAAGATCCGAACTCGCTAGCTAGTAACGTTGCTGAGTTATTCAAAAAGCAACCGAGTCCATTCTTTTTTTGAAATGGATAGTACATTATGTAAAGTAGAAATGATATTAATTTCTTTGTTTCATTATAGAACGAACGAAGATGCAACAAATGATGATTCAAGTATCAAGGAATTAGAACAATTGGTGGATAAATTACAAGTTGTGAATAAAACATTAAGCAGTAAGTTGCAGTTATGTTAAAAAAAATGTTCATTATATATAGGATGAATTTTTTCTTTCATTTTAAGCTATTGATGCATCATTATCAATGTCAACAAATAATGATTCGTTATCTTTCTCAACATCACCGTCTCACATGGCATCAAAACAAAACTATCGATCATCAACAAATTTTGAATGATTACAAATATTCGTTCTGTTTTTGCAATATCCATTTTTGTTTATTGCTTTTGTTGAAAAAGAGAAGATATACTTTTCTGCTGTGTACAAATATTGGATAACTTTTAGTTCTTTTATTCTTGTCTCCAAACAGTGCTCTCATTTATTTTTTAATGCATGTGCTAATTTAATTTGTTTATCTTCTACGGTTAACATTTTTTTAATATGTTTTTCTCAGTTTTTAACTTATATATATCTCTTAGTTTAATGTTTATCTTACTTTATTCGTTTTGTACAAAATAGAAGAAATAGAAAGATAAAAGCAAGAAACCTAAGTATACGTTCTATTGTAGATGAACGTCTAATAAATACTACAAAATTGAATCTTGATGTTGTACATTTTACGCAAGATATAGATCGAGTTTGATTGATTTTTAAATAGTGAAAACTTTTTTTACCATTGTCATTTAGACAAATAATTTTATTTTCATGGCTAAATATGTTATGTCATATGCAAAGATATTTTCTCTCAGTCAGATTCGCATTTAGTGGAGCTTCCGCTTTCATAATTGTGTTGTAATAATTTATTTCATATTCTATCATTAATAAAAAATGAATATGCTGTGCGTTTCAAAATCGTTGATTAAAATCTGCTAATGCAATAAAGATTAATGGAATAAATGAAGAAAAAAAAATATATAGAACTTTATATGACTTAAAATAACTGGGAAAATTTAAAGTAGTTATAGCATAACTTTTTTTCAATACGGTACAAGAACATGATTGGTTTTATCGATCGTACTGTAAGCTTTTTTTAAATTTTTTTCACATTACTGAGGTTAAAAGAAATAATCAGGTCTTCGGACTTATGTTAATAATAATCTCAATATTATGTAGCCTACTGTGATTTTTCAAAGATCTGAACTGACAATACTTCAAGTTTTTTTTCTCTGAACTGGTTTATTTTAACCATCTCTTTGTTTTAACTAAACATCTTAAGTTAAGTTGACGATCTTGAATGTTAGATTTGTTTTTCATCTTCTAGTTGATAAGCAAAATCCGTAATCGTAACAAATAATAACTGTTTCTGGTTTCTCGAATATTTTCTAAATTTATATAGGGTGAAAACGAGATCTTGATTAAACGTTGATGAGTATGATGTGTTTTCTACATCTATTTGTCTCTACTTGGTTTTTTGCCCACATAGATTTATATTGGATCAGATGGTGAATAATACTGAGTTGTTTATTGTTATATCAAGCAATATTTTTTCAATTTTTCTTCTAGAAAGCAAAATTCTAGAGCTTAAAAGAAACATCTCGATAGATTGGTTCTATAAATTGATGCCTAACTCTTTCAATCGAGGTTGACGTAGTCATATTACTTCGGTTCGACAAGCAACAAAGCAATGGACTTCGTATTCCTTCTGTAAGAAGTGGATCAGGTGGTTAAACAAACTACATACAGTGGGAGAAAAGTTGACTTAATGAGAATTCAAATTCTCATTAATAATGGCAGTTAAAGGTCAGTTATGGTAAGTCCCGAACTGCGAATATGTTTAAATAATACGTAACCAATTTCGACATTTCTGTAAAAACTTCAAGTCATCTATCACTCGAGTTGGAGCACCAGAGATTGTGATCTCATCTAACAGAAAACTAATGTTTGCCAACTTTTTAATTTTTCTATATTAAAATTATCAAAAATAAGAGTTTACTTCTATCAACTACAGTGGCGGCAAAAATTTTCCGTACACCCCAATTCTCTTTTTTTTTGATTATAACTCGATAACGAAAAAAGCTTTTGACAACCGGTTTGCACCAAAATATTGTCCGTTCTCTCTGGTATATTCGTAGATAAAGAAAAGAAGTATTCATTGTTGCTCTTTGTAGACTCATTAGACTGAAAAGTGAACCTTTTCAGGTCGACAAAAACTTTCCGTACAGTTGTTAAAAATCTTTTTTTACGCTGTATACGTACGGATTACATATGAAAACTACATCAGTCGATAGTACAGAGTGCGAGCTACATTTTAGTAAAAGACTAATTTTAAAAAGCTTTTTCCTTAGGGTGAAAACGCGACTGTAACCATACTCTTCGGCTTGACTGCTGAATCTCATGAATGATTGTGTGAAAAAAAATTCTGATTAAGCCATTCGAAAGAGCGTCCAGAACTAAGATGTGGAAGTTAAGTGAAAGAATCTGATCCATCTTTTAATATTTTGGATCTTAGAGCTATTTTTGAAATATCTTTTCTGCATGGTTTAGTGATGTGTCACTCGAAGTTGCCGAAACGTTTCCATACGCAAAACTGTCTTTGTTGCCCCCGTCAGGTGTTTAGTGAGTGAAACGCTTCCAGGCGTTATTTTTAGATGAAAGAAGACGTTAAAGTTAATAAAAAAACTTAAGTGTTATTTTATACTTCTAACATGCTTAGGTAATGTATGTCATATATCTGACCCTGTGTTACATGATTCATACTGTTTTGTTTGAAATAATCGAGAGAGCACAACAGAGTTTTGAAGATCAAACCACATACAAAAAAATAACAGATTTTTCTAAAACACAGTACAAAACACACACACACAAAAAATAAAAAAAGGAAGAACAAAAATAGACGTAAAAATGCATTTTGTGTGTGATGATTGGGGATGTATCGTATGATTATAATTTATTCTCACAAAAGTTTTCTTCGTTTTATCTGGTATTGATGGTTTTTACTGAATAGACAAAAAATGAAAATAGATGACAAAGCTAGAATACTCTATAGTAGTCGATACTCACATATTTGATTTCGTTTAAACCGTCTTTGAAGTACAAAAAATACGGTGTTAATCCATCTACTTTGTAATACTGTAAAATCACCATGCCATCAGTATTCATACTTTCACCCAAATAAAATCGATATTCGGCAAATTTTGTTAAAATTTCTTGTGCTACTTTAGTCATTCCAGCTTTGAACGGCTGAACACGATTAGGCGAATTTTCTTGTAGATGTTCTTTCAATCTAAAATAGCATGTTTTAATCAAAGATACTAATGGAGTCAATGGAAAATATGAATTTTTCACATACTTTTTAGAATATTCTCTAATCCACTCTTTAAAAGTTTCTTTCTGGAACGATGTTTCAACGAGTTTATGATTAAGAACAACATTAATCCCTTAATAACATAAAAGTAAATATAGTTACAAGAAAATAAAGAAAACTATTGCTCTGATTACCTGACACATGAGATGCGTCAACTCCTGCATCTTCTTCTTCAGCTTCTGTTGCTTTGTTGCCTCCAATCAGTGAATCAGCAATATCATTTGAAATTATTATTTGCTAAAGTAGGAAGAAAATTATTTCTTTTCAATTACATTTTTCGCCAAACGATGAAGAGGAAAAGGTAGCGCAAAAATATATTTATCGTAGAAGCGTTTCGTAAAAGAAAATATATAACTCGAATTCAGAGCTGAACTGCCGCACTTATCGCATTCATCAATACTTTCACAGCATAGCTTTTTCCTGAATCTCGGACATGTAAGAGTTTCAAGGTTGTTCATCATGCATACTATGTACTGTGACGGAGTATTAAACATCGAAAACTGGACATAGGTCAGATACGAAAAAACTTACTACCGGTTACGTTAGCAGATAAAAAAGGTGTACTTATTTCTTGTAGTCTTTTCATTGTACAGTAATGTATATCCAACGGACAACCTCGAAGCTTTTACATGCCCGAGATTCAGGGAAACGTTATACTGTGAAAATATTGATGAATACGATAAATGCGACGGTTCAGTTCTGAATCCGAGTACACAGTTGGCATCCAGGGGAAATTAGATGAAAAATCGAAGTTGCTCCTAATTCAAATACAAATAGTGGAAAATGTAGCCCTTTCAAAAGGCTATCGAATGGTATATAAATGTCTATTTTGAAAATGGTTCCTACGACGAGAAATCACGGTACACAAAACCGATTACGGATATCGTTACTACATATGAAATAAAGATTCTTTGCTTACTCAATTATGTTACGTGATTTCAAAGCAGATATTCAGAACCAGCACGTCTTCAGCTATCTATTGATAACAAAATATTTCTATTCCGGCACCAAATTCAATAAATAAGAGCGACATGTTCTCCATCACGTCAGTCCGTAGTAACAGTACTCCAGTATAGTCGGATCGCCCTCGTTAGCCTCACGCGAAAATAACATACAAACACATCAAAATGTTCCTCAAACGCTATTCTATGTATTCTAAAATCGCAAAATCTCGCATATTTTCCAAGGAAGTTTTATAGATTTTCCAAAATCCCAAGAGGTTTTCGCGTATTTCACATTTTTCTCTCTCACTAAGCACTTTTTGGTACAAATAATGCCATATTCGGAATCACCGTGAAAAACTGCATCGAATGATGTATAGCTTTTTAATTTTTCTGCAGAAATATTTTCGATCAAATTGAATTATAGACTTGAAAGCTTGTCCGCAGCAAATTTTGCTTAGGAATTTGGATATTTATTTTAGCAATAGTACACA